CCCACAAGGTGATGCAGTGAGTCTCACAAGGTGATGCAGTGAGTCTCACAAGGTGATGCAGAGGGCCTCACAAGGTGATGTAGTTGGCCCCACAAGGTGATGCAGTAGGCCTCACAAGGTGATGCAGTGGGCCCCACAAGGTGATGCAGTGAGTCTCACAAGGTGATGCAGTGGGCCCCACAAGGTGATGCAGTGGGCCCCACAAGGTGATGCAGAGGGCCTCACAAGGTGATGTAGTTGGCCCCACAAGGTGATGCAGTAGGCCTCACAAGGTGATGCAGTGGGCCCCACAAGGTGATGCAGTGGGTTTACAAGGTGATGCAGTGGGCCCCTAAAGATAGTGAGTCTCACAAGGTGATGCAGAGGGCCTCACAAGGAGGTGATGGATTGGCCCCACAAGGTGATGCAGTAGGCCTCACAAGGTGATGCAGTGGGTCCCCACAAGGTGCAGTGAGAGTCACAAGGTGATGCAGTGGGCCCACAAGGTGATGATGGGCCCCACAAGGTGATGCAGTGGGTCCCACAAGGTGATGCAGTGGGTCTCACAAGGTGATGCAGTGGGCCCCACAAGGTGATGCAGTGGGCCCCACAAGGTGATGCAGTGGGTCCCACAAGGTGATGCAGTGAGTCTCACAAGGTGATGCAGTGGGTCCCACAAGGTGATGCAGTGGGTCCCACAAGGTGATGCAGTGGGCCCCACAAGGTGATGCAGTGGGTCCCACAAGGTGATGCAGCGAGTCTCACAAGGTGATGCAGTGAGTCTCACAAGTTGATGCAGTGGGCCCCACAAGGTGATGCAGTGAGTCTCACAAGGTGATGCAGTGAGTCTCACAAGGTGATGCAGTGGGCCCCACAAGGTGATACAGTGGGCCCCCTGGTGTGCAGTGGGCCTCCTGAGTGATGCAGTGAGTCTCACAAGGTGGTGGTGGGCCCCACAAGGTGATGCAATGTAGGTCTCACAAGGTGATGCAGTGAGTCTCACAAGGTATTCTAGTGGGCCCCTGAGGTGATGCAGTGGGCCCCACAAGGTGATGCCAGTGGGTCCCACAAGGTGATGCAGTGGGTCCCACAAGGTGATGCAGTGAGTTTCACAAGGTGATGCAGTGGGCCCCACAAGGTGATGCAGCGAGTCTCACAAGGTGATGCAGTGAGTCTCACAAGTTGATGCAGTGAGTCTCACAAGTTGATGCAGTGAGTCCCACAAGGTGATGCAGTGGGTCCCACAAGGTGATGCAGTGGGTCCCACAAGGTGGGCCCCACTAGGTGATGCAGTGGGCCTGATGCAGTGAGTCTCACAGGTGATGCAGTGGGTCCCACAAGGTGTGAGAGTCTCACAAGGTGATGCAGTGAGTGGGTCCCACAAGGTGATGCAGTGGGGGGTGATGCCATCCAAGATGCAGTGGGTCCCACAAGGTGATGCAGTGGGCACTCAGTCTCACAAGGTGATGCAGTGAGTCTGATGCAGTGAGATGGAGTCTCACAGGTGATGCGTGGTGCAGTGAGTCTCACTGGGTCCCACAAGTGATGCAGTGGGCCTCGGAGATACAGTGGGCCCCACATGATGCAGTGGGCCCTCACAGAATGATGCAGTGGGCCTCACAAGGTGATGCAGTGAGTCTCACAAGGTGAGTAGTGGGCCTCGGAAGGCGATACAGTGGGCCCCACAAGGTGATGCAGTTGGCCTCACAAGGTGATGCAGTGGGCCCCACAAGGTGATGCAGTGGGCCCCACAAGTTGATACAGTGAGTCTCACAAGGTGATGCAGTGGGTCCCACAAGTTGATACAGTGGGCCTCGGAAGGTGATACAGTGGGCCCCACAAGGTGATGTAGTGGGCCCTACAAGATGACAAGATGATGCAGTGGGCCTCACAAGGTGATACAATGGGTCCCACAAGGTGATGCAGTAGGCCTCACAAGGTGATGCAGTGGGCCCCACAAGTTGATACAGTGAGCCCTAAAAGTTGATACAATGGGCCCCACAAGTTGATACAGTGGGCCTCGGAAGGTGATACAGTGGGCCCCACAAGATGATGCAGTGGGCCCCACAAGGTGATATTTAAGTACTCATTTTTATATAATGAAACGAAAAAAATGTTAACAATTTGATACTACAACACATACCCATACTATAGTATTTCCACGCTAACCTCACCCATAAGCCACACCCCTTGTTTATATATAGCAAGAACAGAGGAGCGGGTTCCCATAGCAGGGGTATGACACACACACACTTGTCATTTTCTCTCCTTATTTACTCTAGAAATCACCCGAGGAAGCATAGCTAGTCATTATACATTGTTCTTACAAAACCAGCATCAACTGTTGACATAATCACATATTGACACAACACATTAGTAGGAAATAAACAGTACATAACAATAAACCCAACCCACCAGCATAACAAGCGGGTGGACGCTTGGCGCCGACTCATTCAGGGGTGGCGGGGATGAGTGTCTGTAGAGCAATGCCTTTATTAGCCTTATTCTGGCTTACAAATTACCTCCACGTGTTCACCACATTCTTCATATAACACTCATTATGCTCAACATATCAAACACACCCTAATAGAGCTAAAAATACTTGGTACACACCCAGCTAGCTCGCTTTCTAACCCATTTCTAATCCACAAAATATATATATATATTTTTTCTCCACGGGACTTACAAAAATACATATCCATATTAAAAAATACTCTAAATCACCAAACAAATGTCTCCGGAGTTTCTCATACCACATCTGCCCCCACTTAAATCTATTGTGTGGTATGGGATTGTTTGTGTTCACACTCAGGATGGGATGGAGAAAGGAAACTCAAAATGTGCTCTCTGTATACATGTTGTATTGGATGTACAATGCAGCTTGGTGCTGGGAAGGCAGCATGGTTACAAGCGTGATGTAGAGAGAGCTGGTTGGTGAGGGTGCTCAGAGGAGGACAGCTTGTGGGTCGCCATGCTCGCCGGCGGGAGCGAGGACCGCCAGGCAGGAGGAGGAGGAGGAGGTGTTGCTGGCTGGTTGGTGTAGGTAGAAAGAGACAGGTCAACACGAGGTCAGGTCTTTTATAGCGGAGGTAGGCGTGGGTAGATAGTTGACCCCGCTCCGTGGGCGGCGCTGGTTGACCTAGACCACGAGGGAATTCGTGGGGTCGGCTACGCAGCGACAAACAGCGTTTGTAGGGTAGAAATCCACTACACTATCATGGTCCCCAAGATACTGGGAATAAAGAAAATAAATGACCTAACATTCTGAGGCATTGAGCAGTTGGAAGGAGGAACTTTACAAATTGTACTGGCATATAGGAACTAACAATGTGAAACTTAAATCTATAGCACCAAAATACTTTGGATTGACGATTTAGGTAACCTAATTACAGTAGTGTTTTCCTGCCGTAGCTCTCTTCTACGCAGGGCCGGATTTACCTAATTGTGGGCCCCAGACCAAACTCATCAGTGGGCCCCCAAATTTATAGAAATGTTTGCATGTTTCAATAATATATATATATATATATATATATATATATATATATATATATATATATATATATATATATATATATATATATAAATTTTACTGTAATTATTTTGCAATTGCCAAATGTCATCAAATATTACATAATATCAAAATATTATAATGTAAGAAATAAGAATTTCAACACAATGTGACACATCATTACTTTTAATCAAATTAGTTCTATATCATGTACATCTTATATATGGGAATAATGAAAAAAATACAATTAACTTGAAGCATTATCAATTTTGCAAGCACATGAAGTACAGCAAACTGTGTGAATTTCAAAATAACTTCTTCCTACTTTTTTCATGGAAAATTTGTCAATGATACTATTTGTGTCAAGGGAATGTAGGAGGCCAGATTCAATGCATAATAATGAAAGTGAGTTTAATCTGGTTTGTCCCATGGTAGACCTCAGGTGATTTTTCACCCTAGATAGAGTAGAGAAAGACCTCTCTCCTTCACAATTAACTGTCTTAGCACATTCATTTTCGATAGAAATCATAGCTAGGCTGTTCAATCTTGCCTGAGTCATGCTAGAACGAAGATAATTCTTGATGCGTTTCAGTTTAGAGAAACTTATTTCACATGATGCAACAGACACACATATTGTTAAAAAGAATCTCAGGCATAATAACAAGTTTGGCAAGGTTTCACAAAAGTCCCATTTGACAATAAACTTCAGGAACTGCAAGACTGTCCATTTATTTGCTTCTTCAGGTGTGATTTTGGCAGCCTCCACGTGTCTGCGAAGTCGCATAATTTCTACCATGACATCCTCATCAGAAATTTCATTGAAAATCTTGGTCATGCTTGAATTTGTAATACTCCCCTGAAGTTGTTCTTCTTTTGCAGAAAGCAAGTAGCTTGGCTGAATAGCTGCAAATATTGACAAGATGTTATCCACGGCCTCTGAACGAGCATCCAATTCTAGACTCAATCGATCTAAGCATTCAAACATTGATCTCTTCATTTCCTCTTGCATTGTCAGTCCAGCATTCCTAGCCATCTCTCCTGGCATCATTTTCTTTCGTCTTATCCTCCCTCTTGTTACCATGGAGATGCCCATTTCTTCACATTGTGTAGTTGCATATTGAATCGCTCTCTCCACAATTTCATTCCTCTGACCTCGAAGAAACAATTTCAAACCATTGAGCTTTACAGTGCACTTTTTAAGACTTATTCCTTCTGTTTGCAAATACTTCTGTGTGAGATTCACTTTTTCCAGTACATCACACCAAAAAGAAAGATAACCCAAAAAATAAAAATCACATACAGCTTTAAGCAAAACTTCAGCTGATCCTCTTGTGTCAACATTTTCTCTTTGATCCGTCAATGTTTCCAGGGCTATGATCAGCTTCTCAAATTGTTTCTTGAGAGGCTTTACGGCATCATGATGTGCACTCCATCTAGTCTGAGAAAATCTTTTGACTGTTAGGTTCATATTTTCTTTCAGTACTTCCCATCGGTGAGTTGAAAGTGAAAAAAATCAATAAAGTTTCTCTACAGTTCCAAAGAATGTTACACATAAAGGATCGGTTCCAAAAGAGTGTACCCCACAAAGGTTCAAGGAATGATTGGCACAAGGCACAAACAAAACCTTTGGATATATTTCTTTGATTTTCTTCTGAACACCTCCATGAATACCAGCCATAGTTGCAGCATTATCATATCCTTGACTGGGGCAAAAGTTAATGTCCAGTCCATCACTCTCCACATTACTCAGGATATCCTTTGTGAGCTCATTTGCAGTTTTTCCAGCAATAGGAAAGAAACCCAAGAAAGATTCCCTTACCTCAACAGAATCACCTTCAATATGAACATATCTAATCACTTCGGACATCTGATCTGTATGAGAAATATCAGGTGTACTGTCAAAAATAATTCCAAAATACTTGGCCTTCTTGATGTCAGCCAAAATTTTTCCCTTAACATTATTTCCTAGAAGACAGATGAATTCATTCTGGATATTTGGTGACAAATAAGAGCTCACTCTCCTTCCAGATGTCTGAGATGGAATAGCATGCTTAACTTCCAAAAGATGTTCTTTCAAAACAGGATCATAGTTTGATAGTAACTCCACCAGTTCCAGGAAATTGCCTTTGCTTATTGATAACATATCCTCCCTATGACCACGAAAAGGAAGGTTCTGTGGAGCTAGAAACATAGTCACATCCAAAAGACGATGAAGTATGTCTCTCCATTTCTGCCTATCTCTGTCCATTGCACTTGATTACCATGATCAACAGTTCTTTTGAGCTTTAGCCCTGCTTCATGGCACCCCCCTCTGGCTGTTACCCGGGGCGGACCGCCCCCCCCCCCCTTAGTAGGCCACTGGGAATGCCAAACTGAGTACAGTATTTGCGACCAATTCAATTTATGCATTTCAAGTTTAAATACTGATTAGATTATGAGGATTAGCCTCAAGAATTTATGTAAACCCATAGTACTAGTTTTCATAAGCCGATAAGATGAAGTTTCAGAATATTTGCACAGAGGCTCTAAATATGTCACCTACCCCCCTCAGGATGCGAGGAGGCTAGGACAAAAGCCAGAGAACAAGCTTCGCCTCTTCAGGATCACACTAATGAGTGAGGATAAGAAATGGGAAGTTATTCGGCAGGCAAAAAAACTTAGCAAGGAGTGATGCATTTCGGAATATATTCATACACCCAGATCACACAGTAATGCAGAGGGAACAGCACAAAAAAACTCCCCCAGGGCTTGAAGCAGAGGAGGGAGAAGTCGAAGAGGAACAGGGATGAACGTGCGTGGGTTATATACAAGGGAAGGTAGTGGAGGCAAGAGCGCCAGCACAGAGTCAAGGTAAAAATAAGTAAAAGAAAGCGGGACACCTCCACTCGCTCTACCTCACATCCAGGAGGAGGCGAACACCATGTAAACAATGTCATCTCTGACCACACCCCCACAAAACACAAGGGATACAGTAAACGAGGCAACTGCAGAGAATGGAGGGGGCCGGAGTCAATATCAAGACCAGACACATTACAGAGAACAAATTCCGTCTTGAAAGTCGTGTACACTGATACTGGCACGTTCCTTGATTACTGTTTCTAGCTCCCCTCTCTCACAATCTCTCTCTCTCTCGTCATTATAGTTTCATGTTTTTTTTCCGTGGAGAAAATGATGGAAGCTGAAATTCCGGACTTTTGAAGATTTTTAAAAATTACTTCCGGATGAAGATTTCGATGTCCGGGAAAATACGGACGTATGGCAACCCTATCCTTGATAAGAAGAGCGGAGTTTGAAACACTACTGAAGGTAAATACTTCTGCAGGAGGTTTGAGAGTTCATTACACAACTCTCAGAATACTCTGAGACAGCTCACTGTCTGGGCCGGAACTCGTATGAGCCTTGATTTTATGTTAATTTGTTATTGATGCATTCTTTTAGGAACCCTATATGCCTCAGTGCTGTATCGAAATAGGTAGGTTACTTGCATCCTCTCTTGTAAACCATGATGAAAGATACCCACTAAACGCCTCCTCCTTGTCCTAGTCTGAATTTGCACAATTACCATCTCCACGTGCCAGACTTGATACACCCACACGTGTCCTTAATTTTGATTTAGTGAAAGGACAGAGAACCTTAGTTGCAATTCGCCTCTGAGTCTCACTTGCTGCCTTTCTACACAGCTACTTGGTTTCATTTCTGACCCTAGTAAATATACATCTCTTAATCCTGGCAAGTGATTCATTTACAAAAGTTTAGAAGTTGCCCTTCAACTTACAGACTTGATCTTGAGTTTATATATATATATATATATATATATATATATATATATATATATATATATATATATATATATATATATATATATATATATATATATATATATATATATATATATGCAAGTAAATCACTGTAGGTCCGCGTGATCTAGGTATATATATAAATATATTTCTCCATCGCTTATTTTTTTTCCTTTATATGACTTTCCAAGAAAAAAAATTACTTCCTTATTGATCAACAGGTAAAATCAGTTAATAATGCAAATTTATCCTTTTGTAGTTACTATCGTCACATATGAATCTTGAAGTGGTCTCATCATGCATCAAATAACAATTAACTCTGAAGGACAATATCTCGTGATTAGTAGAAATAGGGTTTAGTGTTTGGTTACCACTCCCTCTTCTTGGACTGTGAAGAGATCCATTGGTCTTGGTGGTCGAGTCTTCAACCTGCACGACTAGAACATTGTCTCTTAGAGTTTTTATAAATGGTTGGAGGGTCATCTTATCAAGGTTGTTTTGTGTAGAGTCATTGATACAGTCGCCCATTACCAGGAGGTGGTTAGACTTCAGTGTCATTTACTTTTGTTTATCAACCTTTTGGGGGATAAACGAATTACAGTATCGTCCTCGAAGAATTAAATCATCGTCATCAAAGGGTTAAACCATCGTCATCAAAAGATTAAGCCATCATCCACGAAGAGTCAAATAACCGTCCTTAAAGGGCTAAACAATATTTCGTCCTCAAAGGAATATTTTTCTAAACCATCCTCAACAACGTGTTAAACCATAATCCTTAAAGGATTTACCCTTAGAAGACAATTTTTTAGGACAGACTATGGTTAGCCCCTTGAGGAGGATGGTTTAACCCTCTGAAAACGAAAGTTTAACCCTTTGATGACGAGAATTTACAAAATTAGGACAATAGAATGGACGATGGTTTAACCAAGTGAGGACGGACAAGGGTCCCCTTTGGGGACAATGGTTTAACTGTTTGAGGACGATGGTTTAACCTACTGAGGGCGATAGATTAAACCGTTGAGAACTATGGTTTGCCCTTTAAGGACGAATAAGGATTTAACTCCTTGAGGACGAGCATTTGTTCAAATAATTTTCATAAAAGGGTTACACTGTAGTTCGTCCACAAAGGGTTAATCCAATATTCTCAAAGGGTTAAACCATGGTCGTCTAAACTATCGTCCTCAAGATGTATAACCATCATCCATCCTCAAAGAATTAAATCATAATCATCAAAGTGTTAAAACACCGTCATCAAAGGGCTAAAATCTAGTTTGTCCTAAAAAAGTTAAATATCTCGTATTCCCATGGTTCAATAAATAAATGTCCACTAATCTGTAAATGCATCTTCAAAAACATCTTCCTCTTACACTCTCACCTGACTGGCTATTAAGGACCTTTGTAGAGCAAAATAACTACTGTATGTCCACCAGCTTTACATGTTGCTTCGAGACTATAACTGAATCGTAGCCATTGATATGATCATATAAAGCTAACTTAACAGTCATCTTTTACATAAGAGTTCAGTAACACCTACTTTATCAGGCAATCCATTTACTCTAACCACAACACTATTAAATAAATACTAGCAACTCTTATTGACTGATATGGGAAGTACACATAATATAGAAATGATGCACGTGACCACTTATTCATCTAAAAACAATTACTTTTAAGGATTTGGTATAGAAACTGGGTCACACACTGTAGTTCTATTTATATTATTACGTAAGACACTTTTTCAGGGTCAAGTGTCGAGGAGATTCTCTGCTTTTAGTTCGTGTTATTTTATGAAAAGGATCTGCATGAAATATTGCAAATGTGTGTGTGTGTGAGAGAGAGAGAGAGAGAGAGAGAGAGAGAGAGAGAGAGAGAGAGAGAGAGAGAGAGAGAAATAAAAGATATTATACTCTCATAACATCCGGACCGGTGATGGAGGGTATTCTGAGGTACAGTAGGTGTGACACAGACCCCCATTCTGTTTCATCAGGTGAACGTAAAATTGGTGATAAGACATCAATAAAACCGTAACTTAAAAAAAACATAATTTATATCCAATATTTACGCACAATAAAAATTATAAAATCCCATAAAGATGCAACATAGTTCCAAAAACACAAGAGTATTAAAAGGCTACAATTTACGAACGCTAAGGTTAAAGAGTGAGCTTAAGTAGGAGGTAAAGTCACCCTTAGAGCATCACATCTGTTAGAGCAATCATGCACGGGGGTCCTGCACTGTGTCACAATGTCTTCAGTCGTTTCCGGACTCACTGACGTAAGTTCACTCTGTTTTCTTTTGGCTTTTTTTGACCAGTTGTGTGAAGTTAAGGGTTAGTACGAGATTGTGGCTGGCCGGGGGAGGGTCGTGGCTAATCGTGTTGGCGTGTTAGTAAACAAGTGAGTGACATAAAAGAAGATAGAGCTTAACAACAAGAAAATTATTCTCAGTCGACTGTGAGTGGATTGCGTATTATGAAATATAATGCGGTACTGAACTATGTTTACCCGTGAGCACCCTAATGATAAGCCAACTATTTTACAAGTTTATTTGAATTAATAGAAAACAGCAGTACAGTTTTTAATGAAGCTGAATCATTTGTGGTGCAAAACTATGACAGATATCGTTGAAGAAATGGCATCGTGATAACTTTAACAATCTTGTGAATGGGAAGAATGGTGGCCATGCTTTTTTTTATTCTAAGTACTGGCTTCGTCCTCGGCTTAGTCAGGGCAAACATCGTCCTTCATGAAAATGGGTACGAAGGCGTCGTCGTTGTCATCGGAGAAAAGGTTCCTGAGGACCCAAACATCATTGAAAATCTGAAGGTAAGTGCAAACAAATATTTTCGTTGGACAAAAAAAAAAGGAGAGATAAACAACTACAGTTTAACAAGTTAGGATTAGTTATTTTATTCATCCCGCCCCTGTGGTAGCAAACCTAGTATAAAACCTTACCCAAGTCTGTTAATTTCTGTCTTAGCTTTGTGTCAGAAAATATCTAAATCTAAAAAAACAAAAGAAAAAATAGCACCTCAGTGTCATTCATGAGACTAGTTATGGTGACAAACTGAACCAGCGAAAGTGATTATTGCCTCCTTATACATCCCTTTATCGTTTTGACCCCTTGGCCTGTCTTTACCTGCATGCATGGTGTTGTTGTCAGCCACACCGTGTATACCTGTCAACCGACTTACTCTTACACTTTACGAGGAATCGAATAGAAACTGGTAGTCATCATCGCTACCTTCTAAAGATACTGTGGTTTTAGAGTTACAAGAATTATATTACAAAGGTGAAGGTACTGTACGGTAAGTGGTGGGGTGTAGTGAACTAGTGTTGCAGGTGAACGTAGGAGGTGATGGCCGTGGGTGCAGGTGAGCATGCATATAAGAGTGTGGGGAGTAGTTAGTGAGATAGGTGGTAGCGTAGGTGGCAGATGTGGGTGATAAGCGTGGGGTGATGATGTTTCCAGACAGGTGGTGGGCGTGGGTGATGACGAGAGATGTTAAGCGTGGGTAGTGGTGTAAGATATGACGCAGGTGATGATGGTGTGTAGGTGTGGGAGGCGTGGGTGGTGACAGTGAATGATGTGTATGTGTGTGTGTGTGATGATAATGAGTAATGGGTATGTATGGCTGGTATGGGGGTAGGAGGCATGGGTGATCAGTGCCGGATTTAGACCTGTGGAGGCCCATGGGCAGCCTCTTTGTGGAGGCCCCCTCATTATAACTACCCAAGAGGGTGGGGTGGCGAGTTTTTTTTTTATTATTATTATTTATTGGGCACCCCCTTACATCCTTGTGTAAGGTGAAGTGCAGAAGCGTTTACAGCGCCCAACAGGGAAGCATGCTAAGTTCATGCTTGCCTTTATGTCTCACGAGTTAAGGGCGTAGACGCCTGAAGAGTCAATGGTTTATGTCATCAAGTTATTGGAAGCTCCAACAACTTTCCATGAATACGAATTTGCAACTTTCGACTTACAACAGGTACCTACTTTACTGCTAGGTGAACAGGGACTAATGGGGGCTAGGAAGTATGTCCAAACAACTTCCACCGGCCCAGGAATCGAACCCGTGACATCTTGCTTGCGAGGCAAGAGCGATACCTCTTTTACCACCGGCCCCCTGGGTTTGGCGAGTGAAGCGAGCCTAAACATCTGGGAGTTCCGGGGGGCGCTGTAAGCCCCCCGGGAAAATTTTGAAATTTTAACACTTCTTTGGAGAATGTTGAAGCCATTTGCAGTTATATTGAGGAAATTAGAACACAGCGCCCTGATGGCATTCTTAATGGAAGTGATAATGAAAAAAATATTTATTTTTTTTTAATCTCAATTTCGTTATTCCATGTAGTTCATTTTTAATCATTATATGTTTGTGGAATTCTAAATATATTATTAGCAACACAAACAATAGCAGTCATTAAAAATATACTGTTCATAGGAAAACCAGGTATTCATGAATTTCAAGGAGTAGCTAGCCTAATTTCTATCACGCTTCTTGCTGAACATAGTTTTACATGATGGAATAGATAAACATGAATTTTAAAGAATGAAAATAAAAATAATCCAAATGAATAAACAAATAAATAAAATTTTATAATATGTGGAGGCCCCCAGATTGTGGAGGCCCCTGGGCAGCTGCCCACTTTGTCCACTCCTGAATCCGGCCCTGTGGGTGGTGGGTGTAGATGGTAAGCTTGGGAAATGGCATGGATGGTGGATGTAGATGGTATAGGCGTGGGCTATATCATGGGCGGTTGGATGTTAAAAAAGTGTGGGTGGACAGGAGGTGTGGGTGGGGAGGGCGTGTAACGTGTAAACAATGAGGGAACACATTACCCTGGTCCTAACCTCGGCCAAGCAGCTGGCAAGACACGTGCTCCATCAACCTCACTTTACCTCTCCTTAGTTATCCCATTTATCATCTTGCTCTTCCTCCTTTTTATTCAATTTTAACTCTTTTATTTTAATGGTGATTTAATGTCTTATACAGTATGGTGATCGTGTTTATGATGAGTGAGTGACTTATTATAGTACAGTGGGAAATCCGGATGAGCTTCGCCGAATGTAAATGAGACCCAGCATGGTAGGGTGGTGTTGGTGACGTCACTGGCTCGTCATGGTGTTAGGTTTCTGTAACTAAATTCTCTGGGCTGGGATCGTCTGTACCTTGTCTGTTCTTTTACACACACTCAAACACATATACTAACACACACACACATGGAGTACTACTTCTTAGAATATCGTAACACCTGTATTCATTTAAGCTAAATAATAAACACTAAAAAGACTGGAACGCAGGGAACATGCGCTCAGTCAGGTGTTCACACTACCAAAGGGGTCAGGTGTATAGGAATGACGAGTAAATCGCTAACTGTGATTGTTATAAATGTTGGTCTCATTTACACGTCCGATTTGTACACGGAGATACACGCAGGTAGAAAAATGGTGATATAGCGTACAAGTAAACAAACATGGATGGAGGCGTAGTCAGTCTTGATGCAGTTGAGTGGAGTAAAAGAGATCCGGGAGAAGGACCTAGACGTTAGAGGGTAATAAACCTTAATACCATCCTGATGCGAAGGAATTTGTCGTATTGGGCCATGAAAGAATTATTCACCAATCAACAGAAAAAACTAAAATAGTGAGAGAAGACCGACTTTAGTTGTCAAGATGATAAGGAAGTTGTGTGATTGAGATAAGTCTATAGTTAAAGGGGTAAGAAAAGCGTCCATCTTAGAACTGAACTATAAAGTGACAAGTTTTTAAGGTACTCTCAGTTCACTAAGCTTTAAATGGGTCTCTAGTAGTGAAGGCGATCGGGTGGAGTGTCGGCCTCCTTACTTACCGAAGAGAGGGATAGTTTACAGTCTGCTTTATCCGCACTGATCCTAACTGACATCCAGGCTTACAGGATCCGCTTTTACAGTGAAGTTATGAATGGTGAAATACTAAGTCCAGTTCTCTTGAACGAGCTTGCACTAGGCAATAAAACAAAACACGAATCTCTTGAAATACATTAATGTAACAAAAAAGGTTATGAATTTACCAGTACGTTTTACTTTGTTCATTAATCGTGTTTACTATAAATATCCAATAAAACAGAATTCATATATCCGATCTGTCACTAGTAAGCGTATTACTTATTTACAATGTGTGACATACTAGCATGGTAAGTTGAAACAAGGAAGAAAATCAGTTTTTGTTGAGGGTAAAGGAGGATGAATAGTACCACCCCAAGACCAATTGTTCCACTAATGTTTATGGTACGACTGACAGCTTCACTTGTAGACTTCAGTAACCCGATAAGTAGAACCTCATTGGGTCTATTGATTCAGTGATTTGTTTGATTTCCTGGCCGTCAACTGCTGTGGTTATTACATCCGGAGGCTTGTGAGTTAGACCACTTCCTTTAGTTTTCTTCTCTCTTGGTACTTCCCACATTTCTTGATGTTCTTGTTCTTGTTCTTCTTGATTTTGTTCGTCTGGTTCTTGTTGTTCTGGTTCTTGTTTCCTCTTTTCTTGTTCCTTAACTACAGGGGAACCTCCTTGTACCTAAGTTGTTTCTGGGTTTGCAGCTTAACCACCCTGCACTTCTCCCTCCACACTCCCGGTCGGAGGAGGAATGTGGGTCGCCGCAAGCTACACATTTCTTCTGTTTCGTACACGTGGTGTACTGGTGGTCTGTGGTCCTGTACTTGGTGCATATCTCCCGAGCCGGCACTTCTTCGCAGGATGTCCGTATCGCTGACACTTGTAACATCGTGTGGGTCTGGCAACGTAGGTCTTAACTGGGATGGTCTCCCATCCTAGTCGTGCTACTTGTGGTAGTGTCTCTGGGTAGCCGACCAGGGCCGCTTGACTGGTCAGCTTCTTTACAACGTGGAGTTGATCACCGATCAGTTCGGCCAGTTCGTCTTGTTCAAGGTGTTGAATTTCGGTGTGGGAGATCACTCCCATCACCAAGTGGTCCTCTTCGTGAGTTTCTATCTTGATTGGGACGTCGTTGACGACATCGACGTCCCACACTTGCCTGGCCTGTCCCCATTCGGAGAAGGTGACCATAAGGCCACCACTCACCGGTCTGCGGACGACCTTCGTAATCCCCTTGATCCCTGAGGAGTCGAAAAACTTCCTCAGGACAAGGAGGTTGAGTTTCTTGGGGGAGATGTGCTCGGCCGGGTACAGCCGAACCACCTTCACTTGGTCCAACTGCAGCGTCATGTCCACGTGGTATACCTTGGGAGCAGAGAGAGGTGCAGGTCTCAGTCCATTTCAGTCATCCCTACTGAAGTACCAAATGGTGCGACCTTTGGCTGTGTAGTGGTTAGGAAGACCTGATAAAGCGCAGCATTTACCCAGAAAGAGAACATACATCTTCTGGACACTGTTGCAGAAAGGTTCAGATGAAGTTACAGGAAAAATACCAAGAAAATGTTTGCCGTTTCTCGGATGATCAAAAAGATGTGGCACAGTTTACACACAGTAATTTATTTAGGATAAGTGCGGCATTGGTTGAGCCACGTGAAGCTACGAACACTGAAGTAACCAAGCGCAGTAATTGTGCCAGAAAAAGCTATACGATAAACTATAAAAAAAACCCTCAAAGGATTTACCCTCTAACACCCCTATTGAGGCACTACATGTGTTTTAAAGCTATATTATATACAGTACTGTAATTCTACCAGCCAATAACATTCTCATTATTCATATCAACATTACCAACTTACTTGACCTTTATCCTCTGACTTTTGACCGGCAGCTGATGTTCGAGGACGGGTCACGGGTGCTGGACGAGGCCACCCACCATCGAGCACACTTCAGGGAGGTCACCATAGTTGTCCCTTCAACTTGGACCCACAAAGAGGAGTATATGGTAGGTCATGATGTTTATGGTAGGTCATGATGTTATGGTAGGTCATGATGTTATGGTAAGTCATGATGTTATGGTAGGTCATGATGTTATGGTAGGTCATGATGTTATGGTAAGTCATGATGTTATGGTAGGTCATGATGTTATGGTAGGTCATGATGTTATGGTAAGTCATGATGTTATGGTAGGTCATGATGTTATGGTAGGTCATGATGTTATGGAAGGTCATGTAATGGTCGGCTTTTTTCATATTTTTTTTTACAATTAAATGATGCGACAATGTCACAAAATCTCACTGTCCCAAAGTTTATTGGCTGGTATTGACTCAGTTGAAGCTAAAAGAAAAGAAACTGTTCCTAATTATTTCTCATATTTCTTCTAGCGATGGGAATTAAAATTCCTTGACGTTAGAGAGATGTAAGCTCGGATTTATTTGAAATAGTAAGGACCGCCGTTCCCACGCTGCTATAACCGACTGTGCGGGAGGATCTTGAGTGACTGGCGGCCAGTGTTGGCAATATTTTTCCCATCCATGGCGAGAGGTGACATATATTGACTAAGGAATAATTATGGAACAATTCGTCGTCTTAGTTTGTTTCTATTTATTCCACAAACAGCACTTAGGCAATTGGTAATTATCAGCTGTAATGCATAACATAATAGGATAATTATTAAATTAATATCTTTAAGGGCTCGTTTACACGATCGGTTACCACGTATGATGGTCGAGCACGCTTCGGATCGGTGGCGAAGCATGGGGGTCGGAGCAGGGTACTGACCACTGTTTAGTGGACGGCGTGTTTACACGGAACTGCTACACCGTCGTTACCTGTCAGTGTGTGGTAGACTGCTGGACAAGAGGTTCATGGCTCCCAGACAAACGAGTCGGCCGCACTGTTGTGTTTTGGCCGCTGGCATGATACTGAAGAACAAAACAAGAAAGCGGACTGTGTGGGTGAAAAATTGGTTAAGGTACAAATCGAGTGGTACAGTCACCCAAAAAAGTCCTGTTGCGAACCACGAACCCCGAGATTCAGACTCGTGAACCCGAAGCAGTAGACACTGGTACATTATTCTGTCCATAAATGCTTCGGATTCAAGAGTCTGAATCTTGGGGTTCGTGGTTCGCGACAGGACCTTTTTGGGTGACTGTACTTATAACCAAATATTTGCTGAAATGCAGCGTGAAGACACAGGACGGGCAACGATACATTCGCATGACCCCTGAAATGTACAACACACTCTTAGATAAAGTACGTCCACATATTTTCAGGACGGATAAAATACGAGGGACTCTATGGCAGGGACCCAGGTAGGTGGCCACTCAACTATTAGGCTCCCACACGTAACTGCCAGGGAAGGGTTGGTGGTTCAGAGACACGATCACTGCCCGAGCACGGCTTCGTTACCATGCTTAGAAAACATGCTCCGAGACTGATCGTGTAAACGAGCCCTAAGTGTTAGTGGTGCAGCAGTAATGCGCGTATTTCTCACAACAATGTCATGGGTTCGAGTCCTACATGGCCTGGGTACTGACCATAACAAGTTTATTTGGGGTAATTCCGTTGCCTTCTGTACTGTACTAACACTGGTCAAATAAAATTCAAAACGAAGATCGGAGTAACCTGCCGAACAGGATGGTAAATGCTGTAATGATAAATAAATTAAAAGAATTGTTATCCATATAGCACAATACGTGAGTTAAGAATTACGTATGTTATACAACTGTGATGATAAATAATTCGCTGGTCACAGTGTCAGCAGATTAAATTCATAATTCAACGGTTACTTTGTTTTACTTAAATAATATAAAAAACGTCCCGTTCTTATTGTCTTATATTTCAAATTAATTTTATATAGTTCCAAGCTATACCAAATGAAGAAAAAAATAAATCTAGTCATTAGTTCTATACTGTACTCAAATTTAACACTACTTATTTTAAACGTTCATTTAATAAAATAATATGAATCAAAGTTATGGAAATGATGATGTAACGCCCAACTATCACAGGAGATGAGGTCATTATACATACTGTAAAAGGGATAATGACGTCACTACTCCCAGACAGCGTCAGGGTACAGAACAACAGTGGTTGTTGATGTACAAGTTGCGTCTTGGGGTTATATATATATATATACAGTATATATTAAACTCTCATTTTCTCCGTTACCTTGAATGCCATTCTCTTTTGTCGGATCACTAGTAAGGCTTTCGCCAGGTGAGACCTAGTGTACTGGTGATCTGCTCTCCTACTGCACCCATCTTTGGTCATCCTCTCTTCGGGATTATGGGGAAACTTTCGTCGTGGCCCTCGACATCTCCAAAGCCTTTGACAGGGTATGGCACAAGTCGTCGCTTTCCAAACTTCCCTCTTATGGTTTCTCTCCCCCACTTTGTTCTCTAATTTCTAGCTTCCTTGAGAACCGATCTATCTCAGGTGTTGTCGAGGGATCGATCTCTCGCTCTTTCTCTACCAATAGTAGTGTCCCACAGGGTTCTGTTTTTTCACCTACTCTCTTCCTTCTTTTTATCTATCCATTCTTACGCTCATGTTTCTACTCTTCACTCATCTCATGTTTCCTTCCCCCTAATTCTCAAACCAAATCTCTTTCTAGATCTAGTATAGTTTCATCTATCAATGCAGATTATAACAACACGACTCACAACAACATGACCTCTCACCCTCGCCACAAGTTATTTCCCACCATTACGACATAGCGGTCATCAGTAGCGTCGTTATATTGGGTCACCGGAATTGAAAATAAGATAACCTAGTGAGATAAGTACAGGAAACGGACAGCCACCTCTTACAGCAATCGTTCTTTGTAGCTGAGAGTGAGTGAATATACCCATGGCCACTCTATGCGTCACCGAGACTTCCTTAGTTAGAAAATTATGAAATGCACTCTGTATGTATGTATGTCGTAGTAATGAGCTTGAAGCCACCTTGACATTTTTCCAAGATGATAACCCCGCCTATGAGTGTTAATCGTTTGTCTACGTACGGTCATAATAATTTTGACGAAGTGTGGCAATATTTAGGTGTACTGGGAATACCATTTGACTTGTGTTACTTGGTTTTTCTCTTGTTTATTGTAGTGTTTATTACTATTCTGTCATCACTCATTACACCTGTACTGTTCTCCCTAAACAAAGGGCTGGCACTGTTCTCCTGTTCACCTTGATTGTTTTATCCACCCTGGACCTTCCCTCCACCTCACATCCCTGATATTGTTGTCATATCCTGCATCACCAGAATACGTCTGGGTCGGGGTGGATGAAGCACGCGGACGTGAGGGTGGACGAGCCTCATCCTGTACACGGAGACGCCCCCTACACCCTTCAGCTTGGTGGTTGTGGCGACCCCGGGGCCTACATTCACCTCTCTCCGGGTTACGCCACCGCGATGTACCACCACCTCCAGTCTGTCTATGGCCCGCCAGGTGAGTCCTGTGTCAGTCCCGAGAACCCAATGTGAGTGGTTAGATAATTCCATGAACTCTAGATAAGTCATAAGCTAGTCCTGTGTGCCACACGAGAGACACGGGAGTCAGTAATTAGTTCTACGGCCCCTACATTAATTAAATGGCCTTCAGGTTCGTGAATCCCCGACAAAATGTGCGGTTTCTTATTCATCTTCCTGCGGATGTGTTGTGTTGTTCATCCAGCAGAGATATATAACTTAAGATTCTATTCATTCAGTGTTCTCACTTTACCTGGTTGTATCGCCTCTCCTTCACGCTGTATCCTGGTTGTCCATACCTCTTTTACCCATCACTTTTATAGTTCATCCTTCAAACTCCTTCCCGATCTTCCCCGGCAGGTAAAGTGCTGGTCCACGAGTGGTCACACCTGCGATGGGGAGTGTTCGACGAGTATGGGGAACATGACACACACACCCCGCCCTTTTACATTGGCGAGGACCGCCAGGTATGTGATTTAGGAGCAGGGGAAGAGGTACTCTTTTATACTGTATAGCGGTGTCTGGCATGTAACATTTTTATTTTTACTTTACACTCTAGTATATTGCCTCAGGTGCACGTAACGGGATGCTCGGCAGACATCAAGGGTTGGCTGATGACGAAAAACGGATCTGAGTGTCACGCAGATCATTCGGGAATGCCAAACAGACAGTGTCATTTCTTCCCCGCCCCCCGGAACAACGCCACTGCTTCCTTTATGAACCTTTACTTCCTAGACTCTGTAAGTAGTCCTGAGTACATGTACTAGCACTTTTTAGACTCTGTAAGTATAGTTCTGCATTCAAGAGCTTGTACCTAGATCATGTATACAGTGTAGCCTCACTATCTTGACCTTACAGTGAGTAGGTCCACCTCCATACACACAATGTATAAGGCTAAGGGTTGTGCTGGATTAATAATTTTTTTGATATTGGATCAGACGAATACTTCAACGCCATACTTCTTATCTTCAGACGTTAATTTGTAACCTTCAACACCTGAGTAGAAAAGGTTAATACGTTATAGTCTTCAATCTCTTTTGATTTGTTTTGATGGTGTTTAATGTCCTTATATATACACGCCACAGGTGACAATGTTCTGTGACAACAACACCCACAACTCCTTCGCCCCCAACACTCACAACCTGCAGTGTGATGGTCGCTCCGTCTGGGATGTCATCAGCCAGCACCAAGACTTCAAGGATAACATGTGAGTCTGCTTCAGTGTTCCTGTGGGTTTCTTTTAGCAGGAATCTTCTCGGGGAACCTTAGTTCTTTAGGTTCTCCTGTGAGTTTCTTTCAGACGGTGTTCCTTGGGGCAGCATCTCTGGAAGATTTCTTTGGGAAAACATCTAAATATTGCCTCTGTCCCGCACCTCACATGTAGACAGTAACAGTTACAGTTGTTATCTAAAGCTATAGTTTGTTTCAGATGTAATATGTATTAATTCGTATTTATATTCGCCATCTTGAGAAGCGTTAACAATGATCAATATTTTCTCAATTAATTTTTAATATTAGCTTGAAGAAATAATTTACTGTCATTGAATAATCCAGTAAACTGAAGGTATAAAGGTACTCCCTTGTTCTATATCACCTGACCTACGTATCATCTAACTCTCACCTGTCACCAGATTAACAAAAAAAGGCTTCTTTATATCTAAATTAAAACATTACTGCAGGAGTTATATTAATAATTGTTGAGTCACCTGATGTACTGTGCCTCACACTACGATGTTCTTCAGCCGTGTAGGAAGATAATAAAGTGGTTGAGTGTTTAAAAGGACAAATTTACTCTTCCAGGTTAAATGGTACTCTTAAGCCCTGGACCTCTTCATCTTACAGGAACCCACCACAAGAGAAGCAGCCTCATCCTCAAGTGTTGACGCCCAGGTTCCAGGTGATACAGGAAGCGGCCCTGGAGAAGCCGAGATTTGTTCTGCTTCTGGACTTATCAGGGTCTATGGACCAGTACATGAACCAGTTCTACCAGGCCGTCGTCAGGTAGGTGTCCCTGGTTAAATTATTCCTCAGCTGATATGAGAACGAAATTACATTGAAATTATCACCAACTAACATAATATCCTTTTATATAGTTATGGTATGAAACTAAGTCAACCTGTAGTGGATAAATAAAACTTGAACGATTAGTGTAGTGTTATTCTTTTTCTTGGGTCTGTTGTTGGTAGGTAAACATTGACACTGCAGATTTTAGATACTCTCTCTCTCTCTCTCTCTCTCTCTCTCTCTCTCTCTATCTCTCTCTCTCTCTGTCACCTCCTTCCTGTTCCTCCACTCCCTCTCTCCCCACATCTATCACCTCACATTCTTGTTTCTTTTCTCCCTCTTCCTCCATCCCTCCCGTCCCTCCGTCTTTCCTCGTGGTTTCTCACCGCCTTCGTGGCCTCCGTCAGGTTTGTACGCAACTTGGCGCCCACGGGGAGCCTGATGTCTGTGGTGTCATTCGCCAACACGTCGCGGCTGGACCTAAACTTCACGGTCGTGCCCGAAGATAGAGACGATATTGTGGCCAGCCTCCCCAAGACCTACACCGTCGGGGGCTACACTGCTATCGGCGGCGCCCTCGAGTTTGTTCTTCAGGTGAGTGGTTTGTCTTGTATGTTAATGGTCTTCCTGGGGTTTATCCCGTAGGAGGGAGGTTTATTATACTGCAGGTTGTGGCCGGGTTATTTATGCTGCAGGTTGTGGCCGGGTTGTGGTTTGACTTTCTCTCCATCTTTCTTCCCTCTCTCTCTCTCTCTCTCCCTTTCACTACCATCACCGTTACCACTGTTTCCCTCCTCTCAGCTGGTGGAGGAGACAGGGATAGAGGGCAAGGGGTTGATGGTGGTGCTCATCACAGATGGGGAGGAGACGATCCATCCCAAGGTGGAGACGAAGCTTCCGGCTGTCAAGAGGAAGGGCATCATCATCAACACCGTTTCCTTCGGCCCCAACGCCACCGACTGTCTCGAATTCTGGGTACGTGACGCCTCTCATCTTATATTTTACATAGTTTAAGGTTAGGCTTATACTGATATTGATTAGGCTTACACGTATATGCAGGGTGTCCATAAAGTCCCGTTCTGATTTCAAAGATCACCGCAGAGAGAAAAAAAGGGTAACTTTCGTGAAACACCCATCGGCACATGGGAGGTCTGCCTACAGTAGTTTGCTGGTAGTGACTTTTTGGTCCTACGACAGGTGTATGCCTTACCTTCATTACGAAGCCTTTTTGCAACATTACTCTTCCACGTGTGAGGCCTGCACGGACGTTTACGGCCTCATGACGACCCAGCCTCGGGTTCACTCACAACAGGTGCTGGGTCACCTAAGAGGAGTTGGTAACCTCATCACCGTGATCTTCCCTCTCTCCAACAGGCAAAGGAAACTGGGGGTCGCTCCTACTACCACAGCACGGGGTCCTCAGGCTCACTCTCCAGCCTCGACGCTCTTCTCTTTGATGCTATCACCAAGGACGACGACCGACAGATAGACCAGCTCCTTCAGGTGAGTGACGGCACGAGGTCTTTGTACTGATGTCGACGATTACCTCGTTGAGTGTCACATGGGGAGACAACCAGCAGTGACCAGTTCCCTCCCTCAGGTGATATTGTCTGTATATTTTGGTGACAGTAATTACACATTTTTTTTGTGTTTTATCCACACTATTGTTTGCTTTTGTCAAAATGACTCTCATGTTGTTTATATCTTGTTCTCGTTAACGTTACAATGACAAGTTTATGATTTGTTTACAGGTGTACCGCATGACGCACAATATCACCGCCGGACGAAACCACTTCCAGGTGGGGGAGGTGGTGCTGGACTCCAGCCTGGGACACGAGACACGCTTCACCTTCACCGAAACGTTTTTTCCCCACATCCCGTGAGTACCAGCTTGTGTCCAGGCAGCGGCGGATCACCACCGCATCTATTATGGTAACCCGTGTCTCTAAACGGCCAACCTATATGACCTACAGCAAACCCATCCACCAATCACGTTCGTCGTTGTATGACCAATACCCATTCATTCATAAACAGTGATACTACTACTGCGACGGTGCTGTGTGGAGACACGGGTTACCACAGGAGGTGTAATTTTATACTTTGGAAAGTGAATGCAGTCTAGTGAAGTGCTGACCACGTTGCCTATTTGTATGATATAAGTAGGCAGTGTGGCAGTCTAGGATATAGTGTGCTGTATACACGAAGTCCCTAACGGGTCATCAGGCGTTGGGACCCTCTTTTTCACAATCTAGGTGAGAGTGTATACCTGATACGCTGTACCCAACCTCGGTTGCATTACGTAACGATGGGTCATCCGTCCTAGAGAACATGTTACTGTGATCAGACTACCTACTAAATTATTAGACATGTGTCCCCTTACTGTCCCACAGGCACTCACGTACTGTACACCGGGGATAATGGTAACCACTTCCAGCACCAAGGGTGGATCCAGGAATATCGAAGAGGGGTGGGGGAAACTGGCGAGCACAGCGAGCCCACCCAGCTGGGGGGCATTTTGAGGTCATTTTGAAGCCATGTGCACTTGATATTGGGAAATATACTGAGGCCAATAGTAATAACATTTTACTATACAAAGACACCGGAGTACAATATACTGCATTAAAGAAAAAGTATTGGAATTTTCTGATGAAAAGGGAGGGGGGGGGGGCTAGGATATCCCCCTGGTTCCGCCCCTGAGCACCCTGACTCAGACAGAGTAATCCTCTGAAATGTCAGAAGAGGGCATTTTAGGATTAAGCTCCCATTTTTCTCCAATTAATCACAATTTGCACTAATTATCCCTACTTCCTCTTCCAGGTTTTCTATCAGCGTGACACTTAGGGCGCCAGATGGACAAGAGTACGATGCTGGCAGTAACTCAAGGATTTATCATGCCGACAATACCACCCGCACCATCACCTTCAATATCCTAGAAGCTATGGTAAATCACCTTCATGTTTCATTATTCTCACACCGCTAGACAGTACATCGTTTACTTCATATATAAGAAAATACTACGTTTGTTTTTTGCTCTGGCAACTGTTTTTTATTTTCAGTTCTTTTGCTACTAAATGGGAACATTAATTTCTAGATTGAAATTTTAGAACAATGAGGAAGTGAAATTATGAATTTTACCCTGTCATATTAGGGCCTACAAGAAAAAGAAAAAAAGAAAAAACAGTTTGATAAAGCACTAACACACATTTGGTTCTCAGAAGAGTGGATTACAACCAATTTGTCAAAGCTAAAGGTTCATAAGATCCCGGAATCTGATAAGTGCACCCCAGTGTTAAGAGAGTTGTGCAGTGAGCTCGCAGGGCCCCCAAAATCCTGTTCTGATGCATAAATGAAGAAAAGGTTCCCGGTGACAGGAAAATTTGCATATGTCAGTCACTGTACGAATGAATAAATTATTGCCAGTGAGTTTGACCAGCATCATGTGTGAAGTACTAATGAGTATTATACGAAACACTGATAACACCTAAAGTGAACACCTGTCACTTATTAGAAACTTCTAGGCAACAGTTTAAGGTTTACTCAGAACTTCTAAAGAATACTTGGTAGAATATGTAAGTAAAAAGTTAACTAGAAAATCTTCTCTTGAACATAGTAGTGTGTTCCCAGTGACATTAAAGTATTGGAAAAAACAATAGTCAATAATTGTCAGATATCAGATAGGGGGAGGGTAGTTAAACATGCATCAACAGTTAATTGCTCAGTATTAATCTTATAAACAAATTACATCAACTAGATAGTGTGGGTCATGACAAGACAACAGTCCTACGCCAGGTATAGTTAAATGCACAAAAAATTATAGGAATAAATAGGTTCTATTTCTTCATCAGTCACTGAGAGTCATTCGTGTTGAGATCAGCAAACAACTGGGAGACTTAATAATTGGAACTTGTTCGGGAGCGCCCTACTGTCTATCATCCCAAAAGAAAGCTTGCAAAAGTAATGCAGACCAAATGGAGAGAACAATCTGAGCAGTAGTGGCGAAAATGACCCAGACCGCCCTTTTTTTACTGAGCTTACTACCTCTGCTAACAAATTGGGCATCTCGACTGAAATTCATGAAGCTTTTCGATGGAAGCTCCTCTTCCCCCGTTCCTCCTGTTTAGAATAATTACTGGTTCCAAGAACAAAAATTTTCGATGAAACCTCCATCACCCGGTTCATCCAAATCGAGCATTATTTATTCATAATATACAAACTTATCAGGCATGCCTTCAAATTACCAGACAAAATAAAAGGTTTCTTCGTTTTTCAACATATAGATTTACAATTTTCTGTCAGTATTATGTTTCAAATAAATGACATATTCTTACATTAAAGATATGGTTAATCTTTCTTTAACCGAAGCAGTGGACACTTCCATTATCCTGTTCACGGATTCACGAATTTGAATCTCTGAGTTCGTGGATTAGGATGAGAGGTGACAGGACGTTTGTGGGAGTGTACAGTAAACAATAAAGAGGGAGAAAATAAGATAGCTACGTATTACATCCTGTGCACGATAAGTAGTAATTATACAGAGAAACATGTACTGTACACTTTCATTAAGTTTAAACATTCTTGGTATGATATAACGGTTTTCTTGGACATGGCAGTTGTTAGATAGTTACCAGATGGCATTAAGATAAATACTAAATAAATACGCTTACTTTATCAGATCATTAGTAATTACTATTTACTTGGAGGATAATATCAACCAATTTACAACAATTACATGCACTGCGAATGTTGTCAGTTAAAACTGGTTCCCTTGTTCTCACATACAGTACAGAGAAAACAGGTGTGTATTCCCCGAACAAAGGCGTCTGAGTTGATAATTTGCCAGTAACTGTAAAGATATCGTGTGGACGTAGAATCATTCTTTACCTTAATCATTATGAAATAAAATCAAGATACTCATACAATACTTATTTATATACGTAACGGGATGATAGAAGTATTTATATGTGAAATGTACAGAAAAAAGAAAAATGAGAAACTTTAGTCATATAATTAGGGTTGAAGGGATGAAAACAGAAACATTAATGGGTAAAGTTGGGGGCAGGAGGGCCGGGGGAAGGTAGAGACTGGGATGGAGGAATGAAATAAAAAAAAAGGTTCCCAGAGAGATTCTAAACCTTGGAGTATTGGTAAAAACAGCCCTTAAATATGAGGACGGTACTCTGAGTGATTAACTGCAGTTAAGTAAATTCACCGAAATATTAACTTCACAAACAGTAATGAAATAAACAAATATGCTAATATATTCTGGCTGCCGCTTATCTAGATAATATAGCTTTTTTAAGTAATATAGAATTGGTAAAGCGAAGTGTAGTTGGGGCATGAAGGAACGAACTATTTTAATATTTTCGCCTTCACTTGAGTTCTAAATCAACTTCTCGTCCCTGACCCACACAGCCGGGGCGCTGGGAGTACAACATCCGTTTCCGCTTCAGCACGCCAAATGAGGTCCAGGTGGCGGTCACCTCCCACCCCAGCAGGAAGACTCGCCAGGTCCCGATCAGGTAAGTCCTTACTTGTACTTTAAATGGAAGACCTAATAAGCCTCTGCCAAAATGATCCTCTACCGTAGGAGGAGGAGGAGGAGGGCACCCCGCAGGAAGACTTACCAGATCCCCACCAGGAAGATCCTCTCCTGTCGTTTCCTTAGCAAGCAAATTCCATGCCAGGAATACTTATACGGTAAAACACTTAGCGAGACCTAGAAATAGTAATAGTTCTTATACCTCCCCTAGTTATACCCCACTGGCACATTCTAGCTAAATTTACTACCTAGGCAAACATTAGTAGCACTTCCTAGCAACATCCATCCTAATAGTGGTTTTTATTAATAACTTCTATAAATAGCTCCTGATACTGTACATCCTCCAAGTACTGCACCTCCCTCCAATATCTATTAACACTTCAACTCCTAGTAATAATCCTTGAATTACGGCTCCTATTAATATATCATGGGAAAATTTGCCTTACCAATATACCACAGCTATTCCCACCTTCTGTATTAACCTGCAGTCAGAGTGCTTCTTGCTAGTAACTTCGTGGAGGATCTTAAAACTGTATGTTTCCACCCCATTAACCCACCTCACATCCACCCCAGTAACCCACCTCACATCCAACCCAGTAACTCACCTCCCATCCACCCCAGTGACCTACCTTCCATCCAGACCAGTAACCCACCTCTCATCCAACCCAGTAACCCACTTCCCATCCATCCCAGTAACCCACCTCTCATCCACCCCAGTAACCCACCTCACATCCACCCCAGTAACCCACCTCACATCCATCCCAGTAACCCACCTCACATCCAACCCATCAGTAACCCACCTCACGTCCAACCCATCAGTAACCCACCTCCCATCCACCCCAGTAACCCACCTCACATCCACCCCAGTAACCCACCTCTCATCCACCCCAGTAACCCACCCTCTGCTGTTCCCCAGGGTGAAGGCGTGGATGCCAGCCAGCAACATTACCTACCCGGAGCCTGCACTAGTCTACGCCTACATCAGCCAGGGCTACAGCACCGTGCTCGATGCCACCGTGACCGCAGTTATCGTACCGCCCACAGAAGATGGACCCATCACCTTCTCCCTGCTGGATAATGGTGTAGGTGGGTAATTGGGGGATGGGGAGAGGAAGGGAGGGTCTTAATGGTTGTTGGTAGAGGGTGGAACAAACATTGGCACTTACGGTGGTACTAGGGAGGTTGTATGGTAATGGTAAGAGATAGTTGTTGATGGCGGTGGTAGCAGACAGTGATACAGGGTGATGGTAGTAGATTATGATAGCGGACAATGGTGGATAATATTGGTAATGAATAATGGTGCTTAATGAATGGTAGTTGTGGCATATTAGAAACTTCTAGTCAACAGTTTCAGGTTTATCCAAGAACATCCAAGGAAAAGTTAGTGAAATATCCATGTATGGTGTTAACTAGAAATTCCTCTCATGAATAACGTAGTGCGTTCCCAGTGAGTATCAGGTAAGTAATAGTCAATAATTGTCAGATATCAGATAGGGGGAGGGTAGTTAAACATGCATCAACAGTTAATTGCTCAGTATTAATCTTATAAACAAATTACATCAACTAGATAGTGTGGGTCATGACAAGACAACAGTCCTACGCCAGGTATAGTTAAATGCACAAAAAAATATTGGAGTAAAATGTCATAAGAGACACAACAATAAGAGCACTGTGGTGGTCCTGTAATGATAACGCTTCACTGGCAAGAGCACATTAGTCACACTAGTATCACCTAAGGCTGAAAAGGATGTCACTAGGATGGCTAATTTTCAAGTAACATAAGGTAGGAGATTTAATTCTCAGGTGATCCGAGGATTCCCGCCCCTGACTCCTCGTCCAGATACCGTTCAATATATTCCAGTAACAAGCTCTAGTGGTCTTCTCATACCTCTAACTCCTCCTCCTCCAGGTGCAGATACCCGGGCTAAGGACGGTATCTACTCCGCCTACTTCACCCAGTTCTCCGCCAATGGCCGCTACAGCCTGTCAGCTACCGTCTCTACCAGCAACCGCACCGTCAAGTTACAAGGTCAGTACACAACCACACCACCAAGTTACAAGGTCAGTACACAACCTCACCACCAAGTTACAAGGTCAGTACACAACCACACCACCAAGTTACAAGGTCAGTACACAACCACACCACCGAGTTACAAGGTCAGTACACAACCACACCACCAAGTTACAAGGTCAGTACACAACCTCACCACCAAGTTACAAGGTCAGTACACAACCACACCACCAAGTTACAAGGTCAGTACACAACCACACCACCAAGTTACAAGGTCAGTACAACCTCACCACCAAGTTACAAGGTCAGTACAACCTCACCACCAAGTTACAAGGTCAGTACACAACCACACCACCAAGTTACAAGGTCAGTACACAACCACACCACCAAGTTACATGGTCAGTACACAACCTCACCACCGAGTTACAAGGTCAGTACACAACCTCACCACCAAGTTACAAGGTCAGTACACAACCACACCACCAAGTTACAAGGTCAGTACACAACCTCACCACCAAGTTACAAGGTCAGTACACAACCACACCACCAAGTTACAAGGTCAGTACACAACCACACCACCAAGTTACAAGGTCAGTACACAACCACACCACCAAGTTACAAGGTCAGTACACAACCACACCACCAAGTTACAAGGTCAGTACACAACCACACCACCAAGTTACAGGTCAGTACACAACCACACCACCAAGTTACAAGGTCAGTACACAACCACACCGTCAAGTTACAAGGTCAGTACACAACCACACCACCAAGTTACAAGGTCAGTACACAACCACACCACCAAGTTACAAGGACAGTACACAACCACACCACCAAGTTACAAGGGCAGTACACAACCACACCACCAAGTTACAAGGTCAGTACACAACCACACCACCAAGTTACAAGGTCAGTACACAACCACACCACCAAGTTACATCGTTATCACTCAGCCACCATTCTATAAAGAGAGCAACTTGCTATAAATTAGTTTCATATCCGCTACGTCGTTGTCGCTAGTACGGTAGCCAATAACAAGCTCAAACAATAAACTGTAGGAAATAAAACCAATTTGAAAAGAGTTAATAGGTTTACCCCTCACGAGTGCCTGTATCATAAACACAGTACAGTTGCGGAATGTGTTTCCACACCCCCTGTGGTAACCCGTGTCTCTAAACGGCCAACCTATATGACCTACAGCAAACCTATCCACCAATCACGTCCGTCATTACACGACCAACACCCATTCATTCATAAATAGTGATACTGCGACGGTGCCGTGTGGAGAGACGGATTACCACAAGGAGTGTAGGAACACATTTCTGCAACTGTACCAGCACGAGTGTTTGGCGTTTTCTTCCTCACCACTATGGAACATCAAACAAACACTCGTCTAAATGTCAATAGTGACATTATTTGAAGTAATGAGTGCAAGACAGCAGCCGCGGATGAACTAGTTTAACTCTACCCCCAGGGTATTCAACTGACAGGGGGGAAGACCACCTTCGAGTCCCCGGAAGCTCAGCCATCCGTCGCCTCTCCTTTCCTGAGGAAGAGAAGATGCTGTCGGATCCAAGATCCAAGTTCCCTCCTGATGAACTGGTGCCCTCCGAAGACGGCGGCCGTTCTAAGGACGGTGCTGATGACCTGGATCGGACCGTCAACCGCCTGCAGAAGGTGGAGCCTTTCACCAGGTTCACGTCAGGGGGAATATTTAAGGTACGAGTTATATATATATATATATATATATATATATATATATATATATATATATATATATATATATATATATATATATATATATATATGCCCTAATTCATACGAATGGTAAATAAACCGAAAACGTGTTGAAGAATGACTTCCTCGTCTAACACTTCTCCCTCCCCAGGTGAACAACTTCCATCCAGGTGATCAGCAGCCCCCAGGTCGCGTCACTGACCTGGTTGTGTCGTCAGTATACCTCTACGACGCCTCCGTCACCCTAGCCTGGACCAGCCCTGGTGATGACCTCTACACCGGCACAGGTAACCTACTCCTCCTCCCACCTCCTGTACCATCGAGTGCTATAAACAAAATATCTGTGTATGTATACATGTAGAAAATAATACTCTGTATATACTGTAGCTAATGTAACACACACACCTCTCCCCGCACTTATCTCTCCTTTCACACTTTTTCTTTTTCTAATCCCTCTTCCGGCTCCCTCATTCTCTCTCTCTCTTTCTCCTCTATCCCCTGATAATTCTCTCTCTCTTCCTTTATGTTTCATCTCTCTCTCTATCCCCTCTCCCCATGTCCCCCCTTACCTCTCTCTTCTCACACCTCTCCCTCTCCCCACAGCCTCGTCACTGGAGCTTCGGTACCACAAGACCATGAAGATCCACCACAACTTCAAGCTGGGCTACCCGGTCAACTCCAGCCTCCTGACCTACGGTGACCTGACCCCTAAACCAGCTGGTGACCTTCACACCATCATTCTCACGGTCAGTCGGCCACTCTGACCTTCTTTAATATACTGTATTTATTTAGCTATATTTTACTCTACTTTAACATTTATTTACTAAACCCAAGTTTATTTTTGTACGGATTATTGGAATTAACAATATTTCAGTGTAAAATTTTAAAGTTACCACACGGGAAAATATTTATGTTTATTGCTTTATCCTGACACCAGCCTCAGTGTACACAAACTCCGTCGAGAAAACAATGAAAAGCGTGATCAACCTAACCTAACCTAACCTAACTTAACCTAACTTAATCTAACATAACCTAAAATACTGCATTTTCCTTCCTAGCATAGGTGAATTAGGTCAGGTTACGTATGTTGGGTTGGTTTATCTTATATGCAATAAATCATCTTTGTCGCTGTAGAAAACTTATCACGAATTCCAAAAAGAGAAAATCTTTAGTTTTGTAGCATTTTTGTCATATTTTGCAAGAATTTTACAGCTTTGCAAGTAACCAATCACCTAACTTGCTTACAGACAGATATGAGCGTGTGTAGACTTATTATTATTACATTTTGTTAGTGTTTTTCTTTATTCATTTTGAACTATATTATTATCAACATGAGGATGAAGCCTCTTTTTATTCTTCTAAAGTTAGTAAGATGTAAAACTCTCCTTTATCATCAGTTCGTGTCCTCTCCCCCACAGATCCCGGGAGAGACAGCGGAGAATCTAGAGGGCCGAGCAATATTCTTCGCCCTGAGAGCAAGAGACGAATCGGGAAACTCTGGTGACTTATCCAATATCGCCACCGCTTACTTCCCCTACAAGAAATACACTAGAAATATAAAAGTGAGTTAGTTAGATTTTAATGAAGCAGACGTTTAACAGCGCCTTAAAGTTTTAGAGAATTCCTGCACCTTCCTCAAAGCGAACACTGCCACACACGTCAGACCAACTCAATAAATATTCCCTTTTTTAATATTTTTTTGAGCTTTGGAGTTTTAAAAGTGGTATTAATAAGTTGGTATTAGTATGGCTTGACACATTCATTAGACGATGGCTTTTCATTGAGTTTGTTGTTGTTGGTGCGGTGTTATTGTTGTTGTTGTTCGTAGTTGTGTGGAGTGTATAGTTGTCGAGGACTTTTCGAAGGAAGCCTGTAAAGGATTTATTAATAAGTAATACTAGTTCTCTGCTTCTTCCAGAACGCTGCAGTAGCTACTCAACAAGATGTCAGCGCGTGTGACATAATAATTATAATAACCAAATGGAACGAGCTAAAATAATTTTTTTATTAAAACTTTAACCAAACATTAGACTCAAGTCAAAAAGTGCACATACATAGATGTCGGTGAACCACTTTTAATATAGCGCCGAAATGTTCACTTAGATCCTCGTGTCTTATGATGTTTCAGAATATTGTGTGGCCAAACAGCCTTCTCGAAAAGTCAGGTCGTACGTTCGTAGATAAGCATGGATAATACAGTAGACGTGGACAAGGATAAAACTACATGCCTGCCACTTCCACATTTGAGATGGGAATAATAATAATAATAATAATAATAATAATAATAAATAAATAATAATACCTGTACCAGTATCTCCGTGCTGGGACATATACGACCTTGTTAAGTTAGCTTGTGGCAGAGGAAGAACACTGAAGACACGATGTAGTGGACAGGTGATGGGCAGTGAAGACTAATATTAACCAGCTGGTAGGCGGTGTATCTTGCTATATTGTCGTGGCCGCTCAGGGAAGTATTTAAAAAGTTTACATCTTTCCTGCTCGCGTCTACAGCTGGTCACCACTTTTTCTGAACTGTTATTCTTTTTTTGTCATGCTGGGTTATTTGAACAGGACGTTGGGAATACAGGAATAGATGCATCTGTCCGTAAACGTACGTCATTAGGACTTTTTCGGAATAATTTTAGTGGTAAAGAAAAAAAAAACAGTCCTCATCAACATTATATGATTCAGCAGGTGATATAATATAATTAATGGGTGTTTTTATTATCTCTCTCTCTCTCTCTCTCTCTCTCTCTCTCTCTCTCTCTCTCTCTCTCTGTTTACTTAGTACTACCTGAGACGTGACAGTGCCTCTTTAAAACAACTGTCGTTTCTATCTGTAATGTTCCATGCGTGTCTGTCTGTCTCTCTCTCTGGGCTCTAAAAGAATATGTATGTATGTATGTATGTAATAATAATAATAATAATAATAATAAACGGTTTATTAATAGAGCTGCAGCCGGTGGCTGAAAATATACAGACTTACATTTGATTTAGACATAATGATATAATATGCATTGAATACATTTACAGGGCTGTACAGTACATAAATCAGGAGTTGTTTATTATTTTACCAATAGATGGGATGGTGTTGTTCTTATATCTATCGGTGCGGGCTCTTATGGGCTGAATTTTGTTGGAGTGGCGGACTGCGCGAGTTGGGGCTGCAGGTGGCAGGAGGTGGCGATGACAAGGGTGGTGCAGTAGTCCACTGCCAAACCTTTCCAGTGCTTGGTGGTGGAGGTCATTGTGGGATGTATGTATGTATGTTAAACACCGGGGGGCCTTCTTCAACCCCTTTACTACAATGACTTCAACCTTTGAGTACACTGACCTAACCTAATCTTACCTAATATTACCCTAAATTTCAGCCTCATACGAAACACCTTATACCTCACACCTTATTCCTTATTCCTCATGATTTATTACTTATACCTGTCACCTTATACCCCCTCAGGAGGAGCAGAAGATGGACGCCATTAGTGGTTTAGTGGTGCTGGTGGTACTGGCGGCCATTATCATCATTATAGTGGCCTTCATCGCCTCCGTCAAGTTCCTCCACGTCAGGAAGCGGAAACAGAGGAAGGAACAACAACTGGTTGAGGCGGGGAATAGGTATTGTGGTTAGTGGTGCGGGTGGTTGTGGGTTAGTGGTGCGGGTGGTTGTGGGTTAGTGGTGCGGGTGGTGGTAGGTTAGTGGTGCGGGTGGTTGTGGGTTAAAGAGTGTAGATAGGGTTAGTGGTAGGTGTTGATTAAGGGGTGTGGGTGTGTGTTGAAGGGTGTAGGTGGGTAGATTACGGAGTGTGGTTGGTATAAGTAGGTGTATGTTATTTAAGGTTATGTGGTTGTGTATGTGTTGGCTAAAGATTTTAGGGATATGGGCCATGGGCTTAGGTAGGAGTTACGGGGTATGGGTTATGGGATCATGGGTTCGTGGGTGTCTAGCATGGGTCAATAAGTCACAGTGAATGGCGCAGATAACTAGTCGGTGTATTTCTGAATTTGAACGACACGGCTTTGTGAATATTTGAATAAAGTGTGGATAGATGAGTGAATTATTACAGTCGAATAAACCCTTTAATAATTATGCATGAATAAATGGATTAATGAAATGTACTGAGAGACATAACTTACTTGTGGAATGTCTGTTCTATTTACGGGGAAATGCATAAGTGACCCAGATGAGAGACAGGTAGATGATTCTAGATTTATTTATTACACCTAGCTATTGTGGGTACTTGTAAACTCGTACTTTTTACTTTACCTTTATCCTCTTCACCACTGATCGGCTCGTTAGTCACTTGAGCGGTCGGTCATGTCTCTGTTATAGGTACTGTGTCAAGTACTGGGCATGCACTGGCTCCTGAATATATCTGAACCTGCTCCAGTGTTGGTCAAGTCATATTTAAGCTTGTGAATATAGTGAGTCGTCTTGAGACATCGGGCGGAGAAGTTAATTATTCTGTATGTACATTATTCGCCCGTACTTACAGCTGGTACAGTGGCTGGCGCGTTTTGTGAGATGTGGCACCTCTGTTTTTGTTTGCATCGTATTGAAACTCACGGAATGACCCTAAGGAACCTCGCATTGGTAGTCAGACTAAGGCTGCTAGATAAGCATCTAGACTTGCCGACTCTCACAAAACGCCCCAGCCACTGTACTAGGCATAAGTGCAGCCAACTGTACGTTTACTGATGACGTCACAGCTTCCTCTGGTTGGCGAAGCAGAAGAAATGTCGGTGAGTGATGTTAAAGATATTTTAAGATTATTAGAATTCCTTATAAATCTAGACATTCTCGTCGTGCAATCTTTCTGACTAAGTTATTCCTTTGTAGAAACCGTTTTGTAGAAGTAAATTCATTTATTTTCTCGTGTGCCGTCTGCCAGCCAGTCAGCCTCTCATGTGTGAACATTGTAGATGTAAACAATAATAACGTTCGTATATGAGTGGTGAGGGAGGAGGTGCTGGTCAACTGTCTTGATCCTCTGACGACTTATACTGGTTGGAGTTGTATATAAGAATTATTATATAATTTATAGTTTGGCAAATGGATGAACAATACATACAATGCTATTTGGTTGTATGAACTACTGTATAAAGTTATATTAATATACTTTATGGCGAGACGAATATGTATTGATCTTAACATAGGATATACTGTACTGTACTGTACTGTACTGTAAGACGAAATAGTACAACTAATGATGTGTAGATTTACTTAATGACGCAGTCAATATAAATCAATATTGGTGTACGAGTTTCAAGATCCGACCAACTAAAAACAGAGTTAGTTAAGAGGGAAACTATTTCATAGGTAGACAAATTATTATGATGTCTGTAATGACCATCCTAAGATATTATTCTTTTTTTTTTTGTAGATGTCTAATAGTAATAAATATATAAAGATTTATTATTAACCATGTGTTACTTGCCTTGGGATGTTTGATAGTGAGAATTAGTTTGTAAGGATTTTTGTTCTTAGGCCTATGTTTCAGTGTAAATTATCAGTGTACACCCACTAAAAATTATTCGGCACCCTTACGGCGTGATACAATATGACACGGGTGCCGAATATTTTTTAGTGGGGGTACTTTTTACTATGTAGTAATGCCTTGATTTGATTGTTTCACTTATTTTTCGGGTGTGTTTGCTACATGTGCAGTTTCAATATTGTGCAGTTTCAATATTGTTCCATTGTATACATTTGTATTGAATTCTTAAAATGTAATGTTTAAGTTGTAGTATTGCTTGGGGGAGGGCGTGGACTGTACTTGTTAAGTACAGTGTGTTCAGCTGACACTATCACAAGAGAAGGGTGTGTTCAGAAGAGGGTGTGTTCAGAAGAGGAGGGTGTGTTCAGAAGAGGAAGATGAGTTCAGAAGTGGAGGATGTGTTCAGAAGAGACGGGTGTGTTCAGAAGAGGAAAATGAGTTCAGAAGTGGAGGATGTGTTCAGAAGAGAAGGGTGTGTTCAGAAGAGGAGGGTGTGTTCAGAAGTGGAGGATGTGTTCAGAAGTGGAGGATGTGTTCAGAAGTGGAGGATGTGTTCAGAAGAGAAGGGTGTGTTCAGAAGAGGAGGGTGTGTTCAGAAGTGGAGGATGTGTTCAGAAGTGGAGGATGTATTCAGAAGAGCATGTCACTATAAGAAGAGATATACTGGATGAGAATGAAGCTAATTAATTAATGGAAAGGTTCAGCTTTAATTGCGGTCACGAGCTAAGTGGTGAGATATGTCGGGGTGGTGGTGGTGAGTTGATTCACTGTAGTGGTGGTGGTGGTGGTGATTTGATTCACTGTAGTGGTGGTGGTGGTGGTGAGTTGATTCACTGTAGTGGTGGTGGTGGTGGTGAGTTGATTCACTGTAGTGGTGGTGGTGGTGGTGAGTTGATTCACTGTAGTGGTGGTGGTGGTGGTGAGTTGATTCACTGTAGTGGTGGTGGTGGTGGTGAGTTGATTCACTGTAGTGGTGGTGGTGGTGGTGAGTTGATTCACTGTAGTGGTGGTGGTGGTGGTGATTTCGTAAGAACCTGACATTATTTAATTGTTGCTGTTTATTACTATTTTGTTGTATTTCTTTGTGTCTTATGATTTGTAGATGATCCATTCCACTGGATCTTCTGTTCCATCCACTGGTTCTTTTGTTTACTATGTTCTGACGAGTTTCTTGATGTTAAACGTGTACTATTTATTGACTCCACAATATTGAATACGATATTTAGACCAAGTTGTTGATGTGCAATGTTTCGACCAACTTGTTGAGAATAATTTAGAGATGTGTAGACTAGCTTGTCAATTTTCATTGTTTGTAATGTTTAGACAAGCCATTAAAGGTGAATGTTGGCCACATATGAATAGGCAACTAATTGGTGAATTAGCGTAGTTTAAATTAGGATCTGATGTTGAATTTTAACGACATTTAGATTAATAATTAATGTTGAATGTTGAAGATTTTTTAGAATAGTCATTATTGTTGGATGTTGTGATAGGATTTTGTTCACATTATCGTAGTTCGAGTTTTTGTGGTGGAATTTTGTGTTACGAAACTGGCGGGATTTTGTTTACAGTAGCGAACACACGTCACCATCCCTTAACATACAAGGTAAAAATCAGGACAAATCAGACTATCTTAATGACCACAAATTTCCGATGGATTTATTAATACAGCATCAGGTTTACATTGAAATTACAGCCATAGTGAAATACAGTAGGTATTGTCCAGCCCCTATGATATGTTTACAATACTGTATAATTATAGCCTCGATCATTATAGTATTATTGTAGCCTAGTATAACGCAGCGTATTCCCTTATAATGGATGGGGGGGGGGGGTATTTTTAGGAATGACGAGTACAGTAACAATGATATAACCAAAAAATACATTTAGAAAAATAATTATGCGTGAGAGATAACAATAAACTAAAAGTACAATTAAGAAAAATAATTAATTACCTTTGAGAAGCTTCATTGATATTTCCCAGAGAAGTTAGCTTTTTGGTATATCAATCACTATATAAACAAATGAAATAATTTCACTATAACTCCCTCTCCCATCTTCAGTCACACTCTAAACACTACATTTTAATTAATAAATACCTAAAAGCCCTCATATAATTCAAAAGTCAAATTCCACTGTTAACAATTTAACGTAATTGATTGAACAAATAAAACGTCGACTTTTAACATTTCATCTCATAATTATTTAAACAATTATTCATAGAAATACCTTAAATAACCTCTTTAGATATACCAAATAATTTATATAAATACATAAAGTAATAATATTGAGGTGCAAATTATCTTCAGGGCAAGATGAAATTACATAATTTTATTGAGGTAACTGAAGAAAAACCTCCATTACAATTGATGGAGATTTAAAACCACAATACAATGCAGAGAAAGACAATAATCGTCATAAATATAGTAGAATCAATATATAGAGAGCGATGGATGATAAACTGTAATAAGAGTTTAGTATAAGGACACTTCTAAACAATAACAGACGACCTAGGATAAGTGGAATGGTTGTGTTGTTGTGGTGGTTGTAAGTCGGCTTCTCGGTGGTGGTGAGGGAGAGAAGGAGAAGGGAATGTTGTGGGATAAATAGAAGGAGAAAGAGGAAAAGGGGTGTTAAGGGGAGTGTGTGAGGGGGAGATGATATGTGCAATCGTAGGGCTGTCCGTGTGTCGAACAATTGTCAAACCTCCAGCCTCGATTATTTTGAATGCGAGGGATTATATTATAAGGAGGGAGAAGGAAAGGAATCTATAGAGCTGAGAAATGATTGAACGAATAATAATAATAATTGGGCTATGGTGGAGTACGTAGAATATGTTAAAAGATTATGCTAAGTGAGTAAATTAGTTGAAAGTTGAGGAAACAGCCGGTAAGGAGTAACACGTTATTTGGCGGGTACAAACGATGAGACGTTCAGGTTATTGTTTACGGACAGGAACATTGAAATAGTCATGTTAAGACAAGGTCATTCACACGGACGTTGAAACAGAGACACTGGGGGTAAGAACGTTGGAACATAGACAACGGGATAGGAACGTTGAAACGGTCTCTGGGGCAGGAACGTTATGACGATCACTAAGGGATAGACATCAAACACAGATGTTGACTTATATAGACACCCATTGTTTGATACTTCAACTTGCCAGCCAACACTACCAATCTAAACAATCAAACGTCGATATCTTACCACCTACACCCATCCACACAATACACACAATACGCTCTGCTGACGAGGAGTGACGTACATCTTTTCTCTCAAGCTATCAATGTCAGCGGCATGTTTCACTCCTGATCCTTGGACGAGATTGTTAACTTCACACCTTTAATAATGCTGGTTGTCTTCAATATTGATAATTTTTTTAGTATTCTAATATACTGTACATTATCTATTGTTTCCAAATGCACTTAATTTAGCAGTATTTATAAAAGATTTTCAACAAATTATTTGCATGGCTGCTGATGAAACAATGGGAGGAGGGAGAGAAGGGGGGGGGAGAAAGGGACATTAGTGCTGAAGATGGAAGAGGGATCATTCTGGTTCAGCCTCAATTAGAAAAGGTCAATAGCATGAGACAAAAGATAATAGAAGGCTCAGGTGAAGGTAGCAGGCCTGGGAATAACACACACAAAAAATCGACTAAGATAAACAAGAGGAGAAAAAACAGAATAAAGGGGGAAATGAAATCTGATTTCAAAACTTGAGCGGTGATAACTGTGAGGCGAGTTGTGAGGGCATACCAGAGTCTACTCATGGAGAATGCTACAATATTTATCCATATGATCGTCGGCTGCAATGTCGCGAGTTTCCCTTAAAATTTAACTAAGATAAACCTCCTCTGGTTTTAGTGTTACTGTCCCAGTTTGTAGACTTTAATCATCAGTTTTTAGAAAAATCTTTTATAAATAGAGGAACTGAGACGCCTGGTTCAGGGTTCAACGCAACAATGTCAACATTTTTATGTCTGTTTTTCCCTCTGATGTGAAAACAAGACGTCACAATCCCATGATGTTACTGGAACTAGAAGTCGTTTCTTCTGTCGTCGAGGGTAGCTGATGGGACGTGTATATTTGGAGAAGGCAGCTGGTACGACATCGACGACGAAGACGTAGTGTTTACTGGAAGTAGCCGAGGGACTGCGCGGAGGGGGATGACTGTGGTGACGTCCTCTGGCGGAGACGGTGACTGAGGACAGCCAGCTGAGGGAGGAACATTCGGTAAGTTGACTCATTCAGAAAAATACAATTCAATAAAGAAAGATAAAGTTAAGGGAAGCAACGGTACAAGTAAATGCGCTGGAGTAAATTACAGTAGAGCTTTCAAAATAAATAATCTATACACATTAGGCAACAATAGATGATGCAGATGATTTAGCGATGAATTTGGAGACAAGTATTGGATGAATTGACATAGCTGCCCCAAATCCCTTGATATCCTTGCCCAAGCGGTCCACCAATCCAAAGTTAACATCACGGAGGTCACCGCCGAGTCGTTGTGATTGTAAACAGATATTCACTGAATATAAACTATTATTAAAACCGAAGATGTCGGTAAGTGGATGCCCTATGAATTTATATGGCAGGATTATGTGTACCCTATATCTATGGTTGGCTAGCTAGACTCTGAATTTCTATGGTAAGCTGAACTATCCCGTAAACTGTCATGGTAGGTCAAACTATCGTGTTTTACAGTACTGGGGGATCGGTGGTAGATGCGGTACCGTTCTTTCCTCGCAAGCTAGATGTCACGAGTTCGATTCCCGGGCCGGTGGAAGTTGTTTGGACTTACTTCCTAGCCCCCATTAGTCCCTGTTCACCTAGCAGTAAAGTAGGTACCTGTTGTAAGTCGAAAGTTGCGAATTCGTATTCAGGGTAAGTCGAAAGTTGCGAATTCGTATTCAGGGAAAGTTGTTGGAGCTTCCAATAACTTGATGACATAAACCATTGACTCTTCAGGCTTCTACACCCTTAACTCGTGAGACATAAAGGCAAGCATGAACTTAGCATGCATGTTGGGCGCTGTAAACGTTTCTGCGCTTCACCTTACACAAGGATGTAGGGGAGTGCCCAATAAAAAAAAAAGACTATCCTGTAATTTCTGTAGCAAGTTAAGCTATCCTGTGAATAGATATTGGCATTTTTTTTTTAATTTCGGCCTCATCAGCTCTACAATATCCCCCAGTCATATTAGTTAGCCTAGTTGAAAATTTCGACTGATCTAAATTTGTTGTACACTTGTAGAATTGCACTTACAGCACAAACAAGCACACACACAAAGTTATGTACAGTACAAAGGTTCGCTCGTATACATGCCCACATACACCCCCAGAGTTTCATTAAGGTAATATATAGCGAGGACAATGTGTGGGGTGGGCTTCAGCATGAGGCCTATCCCAAGATTGCTCGTCCACGTCAATACCAATAAATATCTTACCTTTTAATTAAATTTTACTCACGCTCAACGTACATCAAAACAACTTTGATTTTAGCACTTTTAGTTGTATTTAAAGGTCATTTAAGAAAACTGTAAAATCTGTCATGATCATAGACCGTAAAGGGATTCAAGTTAATTATTTAATAGTGGATGATCAGTTGCTGCTTACCCTACCCCTTTCACCTGCTGGGCAGGAAAATAATGAATGTTGCAGAAGTATCACGAATCCTTTATATATCTCTACTTAATATTCATCCACAAAATGTGGGCAACAAAAAGCAAATAAATTAACAAACAATAACATAAGAAAATTAGTTTAAGTAAGGTATGGTTCGGTTGGTTCATCTCACCGGAAAAATACTGTACAGTAGTAGTTTTAACAGCCCTCTTCGTGGTGATTTTCTAACATAGCATGACTTATGGGTGTAACATACACAAGTGAACGCGTGTGCTGAGCTAGTGAAACCTGGTAACGTTAAAAACAATTTACGTTAACGAAACAAAGTGAAATTTTATGCTTTTATGGCTGCTCAGATACGATAGGTGCTGGAGAACCATATTAACTTCATAATAGTGTTAGTGATTGGCGGTAATTAGGGCGAATAGGCAAGAGAAACTGTCCTTGTGCAAATAGAGACGGCAAGTTTGGCTGACAACAAGGAACACTATCAAGGCGACGCGAATTGGACCAGCACAAAATATATTTGGATACTTTTCATTAGCGGTAAGTGAAGAGGAACAGAGCTTTACCTTTTTAAATAGATTTGTTTAAGGGGTGGTTCGAGGGAAATGAAGATATATGACGTACTGTACATAAAATGGTTTAAGTGTTCGTAGCCAAGACATCAGACGCAACACTCACGTACAACAAACCACGGTCAGTAAGGTATGATAATATGAAAGTGTTCTAGTTAGTGTAGGTCTGTGCTCTACTTCTGGCGCCGGATTAATGTTTTAAGTTCTCATGCTTAACAGCTTATACAACGTAGGAGTTTTGGATGTTTTACCCGAGCACCCAGAACTTAATGGATGTTGAGTTCTTGATATTATGTAGTAGTGTATAATTTCATATTGATTTTATACATACGTGTTCACGGTACTTGGTAAGTAAAACCATATACTTTAGTTACGTCTCTGTATTCTACTCTTTGTGTTGTACGAATAATACCGCATAGGAAGAACACCCGAGAAAGTAGACGAGTAATCCGCAAGTTCCAACAATTTCGTTCTTTTTAATTCTCGTCATATTGTCCTCATTTCGCTACCTCTTGTCTTGGTTATTACTATTTATGAAGTAATTACATCCAATTATTTTTTTTATTGCTCCTTTCCGGCGGTTTAGTGGTTAATAAAGCTGGTCAAGGAATGGAGCAAGTGGAAAGGTATGCTCAAAGGTCAAGTTCGAGGTGTACAGTAGGTTAGTTTAAAGTAATGTAGGTCAGGTCAGGTTAGGTTAGGTTGGGTTGTGATACGCTAGTTTAGGGTAGATTTAGAAGTGAGGTGAGGGGTGAGTAATAACTAGAATATGTTAGATTTACTGGTGGGTAAGGTCAGCAAGGCTCGATTAGGTAGAGTTAGATATATTGAAGTGTCCCGTAGATGAGTATAAGGTGGGTGGGGGTTATGGGAGGTTTACATGGTACTTTTACTTTGTTCAGCATGTCTGATGATAAGAGATTTACCATTAATTCAATACCATCGCTCAACTAGCAATAATGTTACGCGAGTCTTTCAGGAATTTGTTGTTATCCGAGCATCAGTTAACATATTATAGTGATGCAATTAGCTTAATGCCAAAGTTGGCCTCGTATCCGTATTTGTCAGGTACTATTGTTAATTCAGCATTTTGTTAATATCATTATTTAACTAGCATAAATTTTATCGTAACACTGCTAGTACTAATGTTTGCCTGTTACTATTAATAGTCATGTGATACAACATAGCACCAATGACAGCCTGTGACCATTATTGGCCTAGCATTACTGTTAAATTGACTCAAAACCACTGCCCGAGTGTCCGTAGGTGCTTCAGGGACCAGCGGTGCAAGTTGTTAAGAGATTTTATTTACAATTTAAGGTTATTTCGTGGGATTATACATAATGATTTCCTCCATAAACCATGCACTGCTGTTAGCCTAGCACTGCTGTTAGCTTGACACTACTGTTAGCTTGACACTACTGTTAGCCTTCCTGTGCTGTTAGCTTAATGATAATGTTATCCTAGCACCGCTGATTGCAAAACATGATTGTTAGCCTGTTTAACTAAGCGCCATTGTTAACGTATCTCTTTTACCGCCATTAACCTGTTATATGTTATCCTGTCACCAGTTACGACCTAGCATTAGTTATTCTAGCATTACTGTTGAGTGTTACCCATGAGGCGCTATTACTACTCGAGCACCGGCTTTTGCATAACACTATTTATAGCTTAACCTCATCATAACCGCCCTCATTATCCTATCGTCATTGTGAGCGTCTTCTTATCCTAACACTGCTGGTAACCTAGAACTACTGTTAGAACATTCATTAACCTAGCCTCATTTTTAACCCAGCATTAATCTTTAGCTCAACACCACTTGAATAATCCTTAACCTTAGCATTCTCCAAGCTAGTATTTTAACCCAAATTCTTAACTGAGCACATCTGTTAACCTAGTCCCATTTCTATCCAAGCGTAAAACTCGGCTTTTTTTTTTTAGCTTCTCACCGTTAGCTTAGGAGAAGTTAGCCTTTCCCTGACCGAAGCCTCTCTTATGTGGCTATTCTAATTGGTATTTGTTTAGGAGCTAATTAGGCCAGAATAAAATGCTTTTCTTTGTACGTATTGAAAGCCTTTGAGACCGACTGTGGAGACGATGTTTGGGAGAGTGAGAAGGATGATAAAAAGAAGAGAGAGAGGGAAAAAGAGAGAGAGAGAGAGGGGAAGAAGGGAAGGTGAAGGCGAGGTAACGATGGTAAGTGGTGGGAATTTACGTAAAATAAAAAAAAAAATGAGGAAAAAATAAAACGTGTGTGAAATAGAAGCGAAGAAGATATGGGAAAGAAGTAGCAAGGTAAATTATAAGTGAAGGGGATAGATGAAGGAGTTATGTGAAGGGTAAACCAAGGAGAGAAAGATGAGGTATAGAGAGGAGAGGATCAATGGGAAGGATAATGATGTGAATATAAAGAAAAACAGTAAGTAAAAGCTCACTAAGAATACAAAGTTAATGAGAGATAAGATAAACAAGTGAGAAGGATCAGACATGTGGATAACTATAAGGTAAACAACATGGTAGACACCTCTATTAGTTTAGGATGAGTCAAGTGGATAGAAGAACCAGTTAATAAGTGTTTAAAGATGGAAACTAATGATCCTCAAGTATTTACATGCCAGATACTACCACGTGTCCAGGGAATTTGTCTGCTACTGTACAAACACATACGGGATAATATATGTACTATGGTTTACTAAATTTATAGGTCTCGGCTTGGGAGGAATTTTGCAGACAACAGACGTAGCAAAGTATATAGATTATGTAAATTAGGGTGGACTCCATACTGATATTACGTTCAAAAGTAACAGTCAATGGTTTTCTGAGTAATTTATCTGAGTTTAGTAGAAGTCAGACAGCTGAACAGATTTACACACAACATCCCTCATCCCTGCTGGTCGCTGAGTGCAAATTACATACCCAGTTTCGGGCGTTGGCGACGATTTCTCGGTCGGTGACTGCCTCGTCCACTGAGAGGCGATCCTCTTGCCTCTGTTCGAATTCTGGTAGCTGGTTGGCCTCAGGGTAAAGAGGTGAGGGTTCCTGGCGCGCATATTGGTCACCGTCTCTTTTGCCGTGCGCGCCAAAACACGAGTGTCCGAACTGCGAACAGCTGCCTGTGTAGGAAATATAACCGGAATTAGCCATTATAATTTATGTATTATTATGTTATATTTTGCGAATATGGTGGTGTTGTAGTATTGTATAGCTGGGCCTTGGGTCAAGTTTGGCCTTATTGCTCGGAAAACATCACATTCAATGACATCCTTATCTACAAGCTCCTATGCTAAAACTTAATAGGTTCATACATCCTAGACTTAGATATGTTAGACTTATGCTTAAACACCCTAGGCTGAAACATCCTAGACTGACTAAAATTTCCTAGGCTGAGGCATTGTAGGCTGCTCTATCGTAGGGTAAAACATCCGAGGCTCAAGCATTTTAGGCCAACATATCGTAAACTAAAACACCATTGACTTAAAAATCGTAAGTTAAAACAACATTGGCTTCAACCCTTAGACTGAAAACTTCTACGTTGAAACTCCCCAGCCTGTGAAACATCTTAGACTAGACCAGAGGTTCCCAAACAGAGGGGGGTGGGGGGCGCTTCATGTGTAAAAGTTTGGGAACCACTGCTTAAGATTACGACGCCACGGCTACTTTGAAACCACCCACTAAACTGTGAAGCCACCTTGGTTAGACTCCCAAGCCTATGAAACAATTTGGGTATAAAAAAAAAAATAAAAAAAAAACGACTATGAAATCCATGTTAATTTAAACCTAGGCTATGAAGCCGCTAGGCTTAACCCCCTCCCTCCTCAATGAAATCGTTTAAATGGCGTTTATAACCTGCAAGTATTTACAGCCTCCAACACTGTGTAAACTGTTGTTGACAAAAACGTCAACAAAATCTTTACTTTTGACATGAACTCGACTCGTACGTCATGGCGTGAAATTTAATAATACTCGAACCATTTACTCATTAGCATGCTTAATTCAGCGGCGGCCATCGTCACCTAATGTTGTCCAGTGTAGCATAATAAACCTAATTACTCCTAATTACGCATCTCCAGTCATCGGTAATTATATAAGTCAAGGCCCCGATAAGATGGTAATTAGATAATTGGAGTGATTATGTGACATTAATGATGGGTAATTAGCAGTGATTCGGGGATTTAGTAATGGTCAAGATATACAGGTGGTGAAATACAGGTCGTGAAAAGCAGGTCGTGAAATACAGGTCGTGAAATACAGGTCGTTTTTAGGGGTGGTGTGTGTGAGTGGCGCAGGGTGCAGGAGTTTTCAGGCAGAAGGAAGTGAGAAAGGTGAGGGGGGAGGGGTGAGGTGAGGAGGAGAGGAAGAGGAAGAAGGACCATTACTCAAGTGAGTGATCGTAACACACACACACACACACACACACACACACACACACACACACACACGCACACACGCACATTGAACAAAAATTGTGTATTAAACTGTTTCGACTGTATCTATTTCTCTCTATTTATATTTATATCACCACATTAGAATGATCTCATCATTACTTGCCCATGCAGTGTGTGTGTGTGTGTGTGTGTGTGTGTGTGTGTGTGTGTGTGTGTGTGTGTGTGTGTGTGTGTGTTATACATTGCACTAGCGATGAGATAATTTAACTTGGCCATTGGTCTGTAATAACTCTAACTTGGATGAATTAAATATCCTCCGCCCCTCCCTTCCCCTCCTCTTCCTTCCCCCCCTCCTCCCCCCTCCCCTAAACCCTCCCCTTCCCCCCCAAATAAACACCGTATAAAGTACAGGCTCAGTGATGTATCGCGGACATTGTTGTTGTGGTGTAATTAAGCTGTACTGGTCGTCATCAAGAGGACCAATTATTACAACCTTGTGTAAAATATTGAAGAATCACCACCACATTTTACTACCAATATTAGCCCCATTTATCAAACGACAAAGATTAACTCGTTGGCCCAGACAGCTAATATACTATATTTTTGTTGTTGTTGTTCTTTTTAAAACTCTCAAGATATTAATGACTCAACTTGTTAGACCACTTAATCACCCACCTCATTAAACCACTAAATAACTCCTTTTAAACATGGCCGGGCTGATGAGGTTATGGTGGGGATTGAGAGGAGATTTCTTCAGCCCCTGTCAAATGGAAGGACAATATTCTACTCGAGGCCTCTGGTCCTTTGGAGAGAATAGTACATTGTTGTGGAATACGATTTTCGGTCTTATTTCCAGGGTGGTTTTTGTGCTTTTTATCCCCTCTCGCCTCTTGTTTTTTCCCAGGTGATACCAGGTGCCTGATAACCGGGTAAACATATATAACATAATCAGAGTCCGTGTCCACAAGAGAGCTATGAGGGGAGGGCAGGTTTCAGTTATGGGAGAGAGGGTTTCAATTATGGGAGAGAGGGTTTCAATTAGTAGGGTTACACTTAAGAGATGCTTCAATTAAGGGGTTAAAACACTATATCCTCCTGGTATAGGTTGGGTATAAACACGTGTATTTACAGATGTCTTGGGGGGGGGGGTATACATAGCTGTCATCCCTTGTAAAGAGACTATGGACTACACTAGCCTAGGGGGTGAAGGGGTAGGCTTGACTCGGAGCCTTTACCAAGCAGCTTTTCCCATATACGTCCGGCAATCTGTGCTGTGCCGAGTTCAAATCCTTAGCTTAAAAGTAATTCCGAGACTTTTTTTTTATTCTGAACCATTTTGTGCACTCCATGACTGGTCAAGTTGCGTTAACATTACCTAGCGAACAGTTTTGGGCGTCTAACACTCTCTAGCGAACATTTCTGGGCGTCTATCACTACCTAGCGAACAGTTTTGGGCGTCTGTCACTACCTAGCGAATAGTTCTCGGCGTCTAACACTACCAAGCGAACAGTTCTCCCAGCAGCATTATTCTTCACAACCTGGGCTGTATTTGTCATTTATTTATCTTACTCTGCTTTATTATCTGTTAAGAGTGAAGAATATTATTGTTAGAGATGCGCAGGGGATGTGTGTTATGTGCTGAGAACAAAAGGCCTTTAAATTCCTACTTATTTAAGGCAGTAAATGTGAAGTGATCGCAACATAGCAGCTATCAAACTCATATCTGTCACGCCATTAGTAAATCACTCATTGTTTGTATAGTATTACGCAACACATATATTAGTAGGTCTATTATTTTGCTTACACTGGGCAGTAAGTGATGGGACAACAAACAACAACTATCAGTGTCTTATGTCCTATGTCGACCCAGGCTTACCACACTTTACCGAGCTGTAGTGTCAAATACCTGTTGATTATTATTATTATTATTATTATTATTGTTATTATTATTATTATTATTATTATTATTATTATTATTATTATTATTATTATTATTATTATTATTATTATTATTATTATTATTATTATTATTGTTATTGTTATTATTATTATTATTATTATTATTATTATTATTATTATTATTATTATTATAATTATTATTATTATTATTGTTATTATTATTATTATTATTATTATTATTGTTATTATTATTATTATTATTATTATAATTATTATTATTATTATTATTATTATTATTATTGTTATTATTATTATTATACTCTTTTGGTTTCATTGGAGAGGACCAATGAAGTGGTAGGTCAGGGGTCAGGGGCTTAGTACCAGTAGGTCAAGGTAGGTCACTGTGACGTACTTAGTGACCTTGTTTGTGTCCGGATACTCTCAGCTAGGTCAATAATAGTTGACCTTGTATCTGGGGGTGACAAGTGATTATGTGGGTGATGGAGGAGTGGATGGGACGGGAGGGAAAAAGGAAGAAGAGAAAGGGGAGAGGAGGGAAGAGTGGAAAGGGAAGAGAGGGAGGGGAAGGGAGGGTGGGAAGAGTGAGAGGGTAAGAGGAGGGATGGGAAGGGAATGGGAGAGGAGGGAAAGAGGGAGTGCAAAAGAAATGGAAGTGGAGCAGGAATCTAAGGCGAGGTAAAGACAGATGAGAGAGAGATGACTAGGGAAAGGGAGGGAGAGGAATGTAGAGAAGAGAAGACTTAGGGAGAGAGAGATAGAATAGAGGACGGAGGGAAGGGAGAGGAGGGAGATTCCAGCACAGTATGACATGACGGATTTTTCTATGGGCTGTTGATGGGTTTACGGGAGATTACGTGTACTGGAGTTGATTGGTAGGGACACACACACACACACACACACACACACACACACACACACACACCACACACGCACACACACACACACACACACACACACACACACCACACACACACACACACACACACACACACACACACACATAGAAAAAACAACAATAATGAAACAATTACGCGAAAGAGAATGAGAATATGGATTAAAAAAAGCGAGATAAAATAAATATTGAGAGAGAGAGGGAGAGAAAGTGTGCAATAGTAATAAATATTAATAATAATAATAATTACGGTTTATGGAGTGAAAATTGCCGCCTGGGGCTGAACGTACACAATGAATAGAAATTACATTAGGAGATCGAGGTCAGTGTGTCATTGAACATGAGGGTTTCAATACAAAGAGGAGGAAACATCACGGTTAACGAGGGTATGATAGTTTTAACTGTGGGTTGAGAGGGGGTGGTCTGAGGCCTGATGCAGCTGTGGTGTTGTACAGCTGTCTGGTCCCAGTCCACGTAGTATCGTAGGCCCCACCACAAGGGTCCAGGGTTTGCTGGGCACTTGGGTGTTAATAAGTTCAGGTCGAGTCTCCATGAGTCTGGTGTCTCACTGGTGTTTCCATTGTTTTTTCGAGTTGAAATTGTCACACTTGTGGTGAGGTGATCAACAGTCCTTGTACTGGTTCTGTGTGGGGAGGGGGTTAAGGGAGGTTATAGGCAACCCCTGGCAGTTCCTGGGAGCACCGAGGATGACGCGAGGGTGATATGTATGTATGTATGTGTAGTCGGCGTGATCGCAGGGTGAAACGATGGGTAAGTTTCTGTACGTCATTTGCCTCTGTCTACCCAGCAGTAATTGGGGACCTGGATATGAATTGCTTTGCAGATCGTGTTCCGGGGGAATGGTTAACCAGTGCAGTTATGGTGTCGTCCGTTTTTGGTGACAGCAGCTTCTAAC